AATGTGGTCGTGCGAGAATTAAACTCTCCTTTTTATACGCCCACATGAATATGTGGTCGTATATTGTCGTCGCCCCTGTCGTCGGTCCGTCCGTCGGTCCGTCCGTCAACATTTCTTGTGAGCACTATAGAGACTACAGTTTTTATCTGATTTTGATAAAACTTGGTGTGATGCTTTAGATTGATAGGATCTCGGTCAAGTTCGAATTTGACATATTTTCGATGAACGGTTTTTGAGATATTGCCCTTGACTTAGCACGCCTTGAAATTTGTTAAAAATTGTTCGTGAGCAGGATTGAAGCTACAGTTTTCATCCGATTCTGATGAAACTTGGTGTGATCATTGGAATTCATAAGATCTCGGACAAGTTCTAACTTGACGCATTTTCGATGAACGGTTTTTGAGTTATTGCCCTTGACTTTGTAAAAACGCGTCAAAATTTGTTAAAAATAGTTCGTGAGCAGGATTGAAGCTACAGTTTTCAACCGATTCTGATGAAACTTGGTGTGATCATTGGAATTGATAAGATCTCGGACAAGCTCTAACATGACGTATTTCGATGAACGGTTTTTGAATTATTGCCCTTGACTTTGTTAAAACGCGTCGAAATTTGTTAAAAATAGTTCGTGAGCAGGATTGAAGCTACAGTTTTCAACCGATTCTGATGAAACTTGGTGTGATCATTGGAATTGATAAGATCTCGGACAAGTTCTAACTTGACACATTTTCGATGAACGGTTTTTGAGTTATTGCCCTTGACTTTGTAAAAACACGTCAACATTTGTTAAAAATAGTTTGTGAGCAGGATTGAAGCTACAGTTTTCAACCGATTCTGATGAAACTTGGTGTGATCATTGGAATTGATAAGATCTCGGACAAGTTCTAACTTGACACATTTTCGATGAACGGTTTTTGAGTTATTGCCCTTGACTTTTTAAAAAACGCGTCAAAATTTGTTAAAAATAGTTCGTGAGCAGGATTGAAGCTACATTTTTCAACCGATTCTGATGAAACTTGGTGTGATCATTGGAATTGATAAGATCTCAGACAAGTTCTAACTTGGCGCATTTTCGATGAACGGTTTTTGAGTTATTGCCCTTGACTTTGTTAAAATGCGTCGAAATTTGCTAAAAATAGTTCGTGAGCAGGATTGAAGCTACAGTTTTCAACCGATTCTGAAGAAACTTGTGGTGATCATTGGAGTTGATAAGATCTCGGACAAGTTCTAACTTGATGCAATTTTGATGAACGGTTTTCGAGTTATTGCCCTTACCTTTGTAAAAACAAGTCAAAATTTGTTCGTGGGCACAATAGAAGCTACAGTCTTCAACCGATTCTGATGAAACTTGGTGTGATCATTGAAATTGATAAGATCTCGGACAGGTTCTAACTTGACGCATTTTCGATGAAATGTTTTTGAGTTAATGCCATTAACTTACGAAAAACGCGTTAAAAGTTGTTTTTTGCCCTTGATTAGAGCTGTGTGATTTAATTGTTTGTTGTATTTGGGTTATTGATATTGATTTTAAAAAAATTTGTGGAATTATTCAGCATGAATGATTTCTTCAATATGAGAAAATTCGTACTTTAGTCACTAAAGACTGTTTCATTTTTTCTGACAGCTGCCAGTGGGCGTATGTTACCTTGTAACGCAAGCTTTTTTTAATCTATAAAGGTGCTGGGGGTATTCATTTCCCAATATTCAGCATGCTTGCAAGGGAAATGGAGGCAGGGAAAGCTTGAGGTCGTACTGATGGTGTAACTGACAAAATATTTGTGCCGACAGGTTTTTTAGTAGAAATACTACTACAAGAAGGCATATTCCTATTATGTTCATTTGTTGTGTTCATGTCAGTCTGAGAAAATTCAACGAATCTGATGTGAAGTAATTTAAATGATTTGATCTGATCTGATCAATATTTGAGAAAGATGGCCCTCGATCTCCTGCCATGATATCACATTTGTAAGAAGATGGAATATCAAAATGTTTTTGACAAGCAGCCTAGTTTAATGCTATCTAATGTCATGACATTTCCCCGTTAAATTCCACCATTGTGAGGGGACCAAGACGGCGATATTTTTGACATTTACCCTCAACATGTTCTGAGAGTCTTTGAACAGTTAAATATTCCAAGGTTTCGCCATCACTAGTTTGGTTTCTACGTTTGGCAATTTGGGCCTTAAAATCTGTCCATTTTCGTTTAGACATAATTATTTGCTCCGTTAAGGGGGAGGTTACTCGCAAGAGCACAAGGGAAATAACTCCTGCTCACACTAGTATGCAATGACGTCATTGCTTGGATGATAGAAAGTGTGACTGGATAATCTGGACACTATGGCGCAGTAAATGAAGAAGAATTTTTTTTTTAAAACGAAAATAAAAGTAAAAGTAAAATGATTTTAAAAACAAAACGAAAGTGAAAGTAAAATAAAAAGTGAAATGAAAGTAAAAGTAAAATTATTTTAAAAACAAAACAAAAGTGAAATACAAAGTAAAATGATTTTAAAAACAAAACGAAAGTGAAATAAAAAGTAAAAATGAAATGAAAGTAAAATGAATTTAAAAACAAAATGAAAATAAAATAAAAAACGAAATGAAAGTAAAATAAAAATAAAAGTAAAATAAAAAACAAAATGAAAGTAAAATGAAAAAACGAAATGAAGGTAAAATAAAAATAAAAGTAAAATAAAAAACGAAATGAAAGTAAAATGAATTCAAAATCAAAATGAAAGTGAAATAAAAATGAATTCAAATTCAAAAGAAAGGTATTTTCATAAATGAAATAATAAAACAGCTATGGCGCTTATGGGCCACCATAGACGTCTCACTACATGTTTCATAGGTATTGATTTAAACTAAAAACTGGTTAAGAGAATTTCATATGTTTCATCGATTGTTAGGAGTTTCAATTGAAATCAACAATGGGAAATCGATAGGAACCTTATTGTTTCTCTGTATATATACTTGATGTCGTCAATATTGTTTATAATTGTATCGTTTTCCATTATTCTATCATCTTGCAACTATTATTATTCCAACCTTGATAATCGAAGATATAGACTTGATTATATTTGTCGGTGTTAGTGAAATTATGTGGGATACTGTCTTATAATTCGGTGTGGTGCATTTTTAATCCCTTTCTAAACAACCACCCAATATCAAAGTTTAATAACGGACATATGATTCAGATAACATTACCATGAAAGCATTTTACAAACGTGTTACCGTTGCTTTGCTAAAGTTTAAATCTACCAGATATTGAAGCATGTCTAGAGGAATGTAGTACTTTCTTATCAATTTTCTACAGCTGCAAGCAAGTTTATCTTAAAACACTGAAGCGGTTTTCCATGACGTGAGTTATTCATTACTGTTTCAGTACAGTATTTTTTTGCATGTGTTATGGCCGTAGAGAGTGTTTTTAATAATAAATGAACTAGTTACGCTGTTCAGTGCCGATTATCTGTGGAAAAACTAAAAGCAAATTTAAGCAAGGTGAGTCCCAGTTCGATACGGACACTATTAGCTTCTTCTATTTTTTTATTGTCTAGATAGACCATTCAACACTGTTCGCCATTAAAACATAACCACAATACTAAAAAAAGGCGACACAGAGCCGATCGCAAGTGACATGTTGCAGGAAGGATTATGACGCCTATCAAATGTGTTGATTGCAGTAAAAGTACTGTAGGAAGTACTATACAAGGGTTGGACAATATTGATACCTTATATTTTTCTGGTGTTTCTGATGAAATTGCGGAATAACTGGCGTTGCTATGGAAAACACGAACCAATTCTTTAGTGTTCTTAAAATGTGTGATCAAATTGCAGAATAATAGATGCTCTGACTAACTTAAGGTGCTTTTACATCATAGCTATCACCAGTGTTGTGTATGGTTGGGAAAAACGAATATTTGCCTGAACGCAATTCTAATTCAACTAACGACATCATTTATTGCAGCAACCTTCTCACTTGAATGGTTACTGCAAAAAGCTTCAACGATGTATGTCAACAACACTAGCTATTTTAACAATGAATGAACAGAGTATTTTTGTTAAATTGCTATTAAGGTAAGATTACCATTTATTTTTATCCATCGTATTGTTATTGAACAGATGCCTCTGGCCATGTTAGGCCATGTTTTGTTGATATTTTCCTCACTTCCGAAGGTACAAGGGTTTTAAGCCTTTTTTTTTTAAATCGAATCCGCCAAACCCAGATATATTCGAAAAGATGGATATTTTAGTAGGTCAGTCGTACCATCACTATGTACCATTTGTGTCTGTGGTTCTATCAAATATTTTTTTTTAACGAAACTAACCTCTTGCCGGCCATTTAAGACTACGTTCGCAATCAAAAGTACAAGGTTACGTGAAAGTAACGGTAATTCCCAACACTAATATACGTTCAACGTAAAGGTTATTTAAAATATGTTACAAAAAGCACCTTCGGAGGTGTGAAAAATCTTCATGACAGCGCCTAGTTTTTCTGACTCTACTACAGACAACAACTGTCAATAGAGTATATGAATGTAGACTTGTTTACATGGGATGTATGTATGTATGTATGTTTGTGATGAACATATTGATCTTTGACTCAATACCGAATCCTTAACACATTCTCTTCTTTTTTTCCTATTTTCAGAATCATGATAATGTCTGGACGATCATGGCCACGGTGTGTCTGGATGTCAGTGATTATCATAGTCCTGGTCAACATGGCAGCTATAATTCGAATATTGCCAACAGACCAATCGGTGACACAGGTTGGAGTTGTTCAAAGGCGACTTGTTCGCAATGCTTGGGCTTCTAAGACTTCTTTAAAATCGCTTCCAAATTCCATGAGTAATTTCCCAAAGCCAAAGGATGAACTAAATTTCAAAGAGTTTCAGGGGCTAGTGCGAAAACAACTGGAAAATACAAATAAAAATAAAAATAGGAGTAGTGTGTTTGCCCTCACAGGTAATATGCAGGAATCATTTGCACCGGAAGCGGAAGTGCGTCATATCTATTTTCTGAAAGTCCACAAATCAGCGAGTTCCACTTTGATGAACATTATATTACGATTTGCCATTCATAGGAATTTGTCAGTTATGCTGCCTCGAAAGGGTAATAAAGTTCGTAGATTCAAAAACTCAAGTAGCCTTATATTACCATCATTTCACCCTAGCGGTTTGTATGACATCATGTGTAACCACGCGGTTTATATTCGGCAAAATATGGCGCCTTTATTTCCAAAAGACACTGTTTACGTCGGTATTGTGCGGCAACCGTTCAATCAGTTTGTGTCTGCTTTTGTATACTATCGTGACAAGTATAAACTGAAATATCTGAAACGAATACAGGGAGATAACCCAATCAGAACATATTTAAATAACCCTTCCAAATATGAATCAAAAAGTCCGGGTTTTTCATACACGAATAACCGGATGGCGTATGATTTCGGATATCCGCCGAGCGATTTTCAAAATATTTCAAAATTTAAAGAATATCTTGTGCAGCTTGAGAGTGAAGTGCATTTTGTGTTAGTAGTTGAATATTTTACAGAATCGTTGATTTTATTGAAACGATTCCTGAATTGGAGTTTTCAAGATATTTTATATGTGATACGCAATGTACGTGCAAACACTACAATGGATTTAAACTTTACAGATTCTGATAAACAGCTTCATAAACGTTGGGCCATCTTGGACTACACACTTTATGAGCATTTCAAAACTGTGTTGCTTCAAAAAATCGCCAAAACAGGACCGGATTTTCGTGATGAAGTTGAACATTTTAATAAGTTGTTGGAAAGAGTGAGAATATTCTGTGAGCGATTTACTAACATAGGTCACTTATTTATCGAGAAAAGTCCATTTAATCGTCCATTTTTCGTGACTAAAGTAAATTGTGGCGAATTTCATATGAGATCTTTTGATATTATCAAAGTTGCTCGACAAAAACAGGCAAATAGACTTGACCAGTTGGGTATTAAATATTGTGCACTGGATAAGAAAGTCTCAGAATGTTTAAACGCTACAGAATTACCAATTGCAATAAAGTATTCTCCTAAAGCAGTAACCTGATCTTCCCCTTTCAAAATGGGTCAGAATTGCAGTTTCCCCGTACCTATCGCATCGGAATAATTATGCTTCTTCTTATGAAACACAATCTGTATGACATACAGTAGATCTAAAACATGGACCTACTATGATCTGTTGATCTCATTACAGTAGTTAACTGACCAGACAGATTATTGAAATGTTTAAACTGACTGTAACTGTAATTTTTTTGATTTTAAGGAATGCGGAAAAAATAAAACAATAACGTTTAACGTACGAATCAATGAGTTGTTTTCTATGAAATAAATGTTTTCAAGATTGTATTGGAATGTCTATATATATATGTTGACACCTGTTTCGACCATGCTCTTTTGTTGGCGCACAATATGTGTTACATTTTGAAGCAAGTAAAAATGTGTATTCAAAAAGAAAGCATTTTACAAAATAACCACAGTATCAAATACCAACTAAACCAGGCAATGCATTTCAAACTAGAGTTGCTCGTAAAAAACGGTATGAAGCCACAATACGAAATATGATATTGTGTACTACTATAAAAGTAATAACCCATTCAATATACGATAAAATTCCTTTTTTTCTTTGCCTTTTTATTTTGGGATGGAGGGGGGGGGGGGGAGATAACATATATTATGATGCTATTGTGGTCTGGTATTGATTACGATTTCTCTTGCGGGGGCTGCGTCATTTCCGGTTAACTCTTTCTGGAATTACAGGAACCACAGGCATCGGACGAAGAATTGGAATGTGCCAAACAAAAGTCAAAGTGTCCCTGATGCACATAAAAAGGCTTGAAAACCTCTTTGAGTTGTTAGAAGTAATCTAACTATCGTAGATCGAGGTCTTCTTGTGAAATCAATGATAACATTTGTAACTGAAAATGAAGTACCTGGTTGTTTTCGCATTCGCTGCTCTAGTTGCTATGGTTACTGTAGAATCGGGAACTAATCGTAAGTAATGTAGTTTTGGTTTAAATCAGAAGTGTAATTTTGAAACTTTTTGGGGGGAATGAAGGACTTAACTTGAAAGATAGAACCTGTACGTCTATTTCGGAACGAAGTAGTAGAGGAAATAAAGGGACAGGTTTGACAGCGAGAGTTATTGCAAGGAGAAACTGTAGAATTTTTGGCAGAAAATCTTCTCGAGTAGCCACGTTCTCGCAATTTTTGAAAACAATAGAATATGCCTCCTCGAAGTCTTTCTTGCGAGTGCAAATTCGATGAAATTTGTGACTTAATAATGCCAGAAAAGTATGTTCCGGATGAAAAGATGATTTGAATAAAAGTTGGTATCAGTGGATTTGAAATAAACTTTAATATCTAGAGAATGAATCTCTTTGTCGCTAAAAATGGAAGTTAATTTTGGTTGTTATTGAGAATATTAAAATATTCCCAAAATTCATCAAGTGTATGAGTCCAAATCAAGAAAATAACATCAAGGAATCTTACATAAAAAATTGGTACTTTGGGACAGAGTGAAACTTCTTTTTCCCATTCTACCATGAAAATGTTAGCAGTGGAAGGAGCAAAACGTTTTCCCATGGCAGTTTCTGAAGCCTGAAGATCAACTGTTTCATTAAAAGTGAAGTCATTGCGTTTCAAACAAATTTCTAAAAGAATTTCTTTATCTGCATGGTCTCTCGGGCTCGCTCGAATACCTGCTTTATAGCGCGTAATCCGGAATCATTATCGATTCGCGTATGCATACATGTTCTGAACGTCTAAGGACACTAAAAGGGCATCTTCTGGGATATTTTTTTTATTTTCTCAACAAAGCCGTTGGTATCTTTGATATAGGCAGGATGTGTTGACGCAAAAGCAAATAAAAAGTTATCAATGTATTCTGATACCCTGTACGCCTCGCTTGCACAATCCGATATTACGGGTGTCCTTTAGGAATTCTATTGGGTAGGAACCATTCAGTTTCGGAATGTTTATGAATTTTTGGGAGAGTGTATAGATGTCTCTGACGTGGTTCTTGATCTGGTTTTAGGTAATCAAATTGTTTTGGTTTAATATTGTCTTTATCAAGTAAATTTTTAAAAATATTTGTTATTAATTTAGAGGTTTCTTTATAGATTGGATCCTGCAAACGAGTGTAATGTTCAGGATTGAACATTGAACTGTGTTTCGGCCTCATCAAGATAATCCTGCCTATTTAAGATCACGCAACAACTACCCTTATCACTTATTTTGATAACAATATTCTTGTCATTTTTTAGAGCCTTCAAAGCAGTACGTTCCTCGTGAGAAAGATTGTCTTTTTCGTTTACTAAAGGCAACTAGATCATTCATTTCTTTAAAAGTGTCCAAAATGTCTTTGTTCATACAACTATCCGCGGGCGTAAATTTAGATTTTTCTACTAACTGAGTGATAGGACCACGAGAAGACGTGTTTCTATCAAAGTAGTTTTATTTCAAATTTCTTTCGAATCTCTTGGTTGCTTCCACTAATTGGATGCGTGATGAGAGATTCTTGGAAGGTATGAACTTCAGACCTTTATCTAAGATTGTATGTTCATGTGAAGAGAGGACTCTGGGAACCCCCACTTCCAGTTTAAAGTGCTTGGGTATTGGCGATGAAGTCCACCCAGTGATCATAAATGGCTTTGGCTGTCATTGGCGTCCAATGGATATCGTCTCCTCTGACTTTGATGATTGTATCTGCGTAGGGAATGATGGTGGTATCTGGTGGCTATATGAATTAAAGTTATCCAAATTCTTGCTGTCTATTTTATTTTTGAGTCGAAAAGTATGAGCTGTAGGTATGTGGGTGATATAGATCTGGGAACTGGGAAATACGAAAGAAGCCTTAGAAATAAGGTTGTTCATTTTCTCCATGATGGTTTCACTATAGCTTCACTTCTGTTTTTGAGATCGACATGGAAAATAATATGATCAGGGTCGATGCTGTGTTAGCTGCTGGTTGATGTTGATATTTTTTCAAGATCTGAATAATGTGATCTATTTTTGCTCCTGGGTAAGACTCGATCTGAGTATTTTGCCTCACCTTGGCTTTATCAATTCTTTTCAGATTAGATGACCCCACGAGGAGAATTGGTTTCACAATAGCAGGCAATGTTCACGAGTCTTTATTTTGATTGGCATGATATTAGGATGATACATCGAAACTGGGTCGATGAATTCAATTTTCATGAGAGCTGCTAAGATCCATTTTTGGGTCGCTATGTTTCGAGAATTAATACCATGACAGAAGCCAAATTTAGCATAACTTTTGGTGTCTATACAAGGCTGAACCATTGATGGGCCCATATATAGACATTGGCGGATATTCTACAATGTTTCTGTGCCCCACAAGGTAACAAAATACAGTCGAGATGTTGTCTTAACTTACGGGGTTGTACGAAGCAGTGTTTTACCGTATTGGTCATAGAGGCATCGCCAAATATTTGGCAATATCTTGTAATATGTTTCCTACTTATTCTTAAGCTTTTAACAAAAAATATCGAGCCTTTATGAGGCCCAGCACCAAAACCAGTTTAAGCTGCTCACTGCTTGCTTGCCTATACTCCTTTTTACCCTTTTTAAAACAAATTCAGTTTGATCAAGTAGTTAACATAAATGTAAATAGCATATTTCAAAAATATTTTTAGATATAATATACCACGTTTTTGCATACTTAACCTTTAAAATTGTGTTAAAAAATTATTAGCAGGATTTTTCTGGTTAAAGTTTTCAGATTCTATTTTTTGTGAAGAGTTTTCATGAATTTCAGCAACAGAATACCCTAACAAATCTCTTTCGGAATAAGATTCAGGTCAGTTTTTTCTGTAAATGAATAAAACTTGTGTTCGGTTTCAAACTTAACGATGTATTCCTTCATTTCCTTACAGGAATGTGAAGAGCGGTGTGGAAGAGGGAGCCAGTTATAATGTTCTTTATCTACTGAGAATATAAGCAGACTGTCAGCTACAATTTCATTAATGAATACAAATATATTTTGTCTTGTTGTCTACATATTTTTTATGCTCTAGGTTTTAGTTCAGTATCGATATTAAAAATCTAAATCTTTGGCTACTTTTATAATATAAACTGTTAAACAGAAACCATAGAATTTGATTGAACAATATGTACATCCGGAGAGCAATCAATCTGGTTTCTGCGTCGGTAACTTGACTGTCATCGTCTACTTAACACACACACATATATTTCTATCGTGTTTCCCTCCTACAAGTAAACCTCGCATTAGGCTACCTGACACTGAACCTGAACAGTACCGGACCAACAGACCAATCAAGCACTCATATGATAGGACATACAGAATATTAATGTCTGAAATTTGGTGTCAGAAATATTTAGGGCATAAAACTATATGATCTTTAATACAAATGCCCTATCTCACTCATCAGTCGCAGCGAATCAAGCGAACATCGAAAGGCGCATATTCTCACCATGGCGATGAAACATCTCCGAGAGGTCGCCAGACCGGATGACAACCAATTTACCCGGGAGTCACGAGGACGTCGCAGCAAGGTCTCCCAGATGTCTTGTAGGTTGATACATATCCGTCAGCACGCACCAGTCACTTGATCTATAGCGCGAGTGAAGCAACGTCGCGGAAACGCTGCTACAACTTCTTCTCAGTCTCTAATAGGCTTCGGAAAAATCGCGTAGACACCTCTCTCGCAGACAAAATTAGTCTTCGCAACTTCGCCGCAACAGATAGAAACAACGCGAAGACGTTTTGGAGACCTATTGGAGACTCGAGTCGCCAACTGGTCGCCAACTAGTCTCTAGACCAGCGCGATGGACCCTTTTAGGGGCTTTCAAACAAACCCATATAACACCAACATTCTCTTAGAACAGCGACATAGTTCCCTTAGCATTATAGGTACTTATCGTATATAAGGTTAAAAACAAGCCCAACTGTTTCAAGATGGCGCTTGTATTGGAATGTCTATAAATATATAATAAGCCATCTGTTTTTTCATCAATACATTTTCATTCGATCATATATAATATTTGTTAAAAATTACGTTTTACATTTGCAGAAAGTAAAAATCCATATTCAAGATTACGACTAAAGCTGGAGTATACGCCATATATGTATTTCTTCGTAATACAGAAATTGTGAACGTTAGTTAGCAACACACAATGCGACTCTATGAACTCGTGCTGCAGACTGTCAGATTTGAACGTACAGATTGAACGCCATTCTTTTTGACCAATCATACTAGTCTCAGAAACGGGATTTTTTTTAGTCCAAGTCAATGAGTAATAGTGTTCACAGTCCACCGTCTAAATTTGAGCCTTCAAGTCCATGTGTGTCCATAATTATCCACGCTTTAATGCCGACTCGTCATTTTAAGATACTCTGTGATATATAGAGAAGACATATATAGAAAAAGTTCCTAGTTTAAGGTATTTTTGAAGGAATTACACAATTTTCGTATATTTCTATTACTACTTACATATTTTCAATACTCAAATTAACCCGCTAAAATGGCGCATTTGTCCCTTAAAATCAATAGTCCATACAATAACAGGTACAATGCATTGTTTGGCGCAAACTCAACTGTTTGTCTTCGTTACCCCACTGTTTTGGTTAATTTTCCATCGACGTCTATATACATATTAACCTGTCGTTAAAGATGTGTTCCCTTATTTTCATTTATGAAAATGAAAACGAAAATACTGATATGAATAGTAAGTAGAAATGTTCTAATGACTTGGAAAAATACCAGTTTGTCTCACATGTCCATAAGTAATTCATAATAAGCTAATTTAGAAGAGAATTACCAGCAGAATTCTCCAATAAGTGACCGATCAGGAAAGGTCATTATGCAAAAACAACAAAACCACATAATAAAATAAAATATTTAGTTCAGTTTTACTGACAATAGGTACATTACAGATATTAAAAATGTTATTTAAGAGAACAAAACATGAGCATTTAAAAATATGAAAATATTAATTATCAAATTACAGATTTCTGTATCCTTTTAATTTAAAAAAGAAACTTTTCAGATTATATAGAACGATTTGTTAAGACAATACTGCTTGTTTGAATTATTTTAATTCTGGACGCGTATTCTCGAAATGATCTTAGCGCTAGGATATCCTAGGTCAAACTCTTAACATTGTTTTAAGGATATTCTTACGCTAAGATCGTTTCGAGAATACGTTGTCTGGCCAGAACAAAAATGATAATCAATTGGGATTATTCACCTTCAAATATCAATGTATTGAATCTAGATATTTTATTTTCATCTTTTGTCTGTACCGCTACACTTGACATCCATGATTTAAGGGGGTTTTTCTCTCAAATTGAATTTTTCATCAAAAGTCAATGAATATCCCGGAATTCCTTGAACATGGTAAGAAAATCTTTTCTGGAAACGAAACATCAAGGTATGCATTTGAATAAGATTGTGCATGATCAGTATATCATTAATTTTATGGATCAAAAATATTTCGCATTTCTCAGTTTGAAACATCTAAATCAAACGAACAATCATCAAAAAAAAACAATTTAAGGAAAGCGTAAAAACTCTTACAAAATAACAATTATATACTATCAAAACTAAAAACAATCAAACGTGTCCTTTTCTTAAAGGCAAACAACAAAACAAATAAACAAATACAACCTTTTCTTAAAAAGACATAACAGATTAATGAGTAATGAGCATATTTAAAAAGTAGTAAAAATTGAAATACAAAAAGTGTATATTCGAGCATACTCCAAGAAGATTCCTTTTCACATGATTTTAACTCTTCCTTTCACATGATCTTAACTCTTCCTTTCACATGATCTTAACTCTTCCTTTCACATGATCTTAACTCTTCCTTTCACATGATCTGAACTTTATTTCACATGATCTGAACTTTATTTCACATGATCTGAACTTTATTTCACATGATCTGAACTTTTTTTCACATAATCTGAACTTTGTTTCACATGATCTGAAATCGTACAACTTAAATCTGGCTAACCCGAGAACACAGATGTCAAAATGGCAGCCCCAATGCAAAGTTCATCAATTTTACCATGCCTTTCAAAAACCAATCAAACATAAACTTTCTCAACATTTGAATAAAACCAGTGGATCGTGAAATAGATTTAGGAAACTTAGAAGTCTAGTCAAATATACACTATAAGGCACAATGATAATAACTTTGATTATAATCCAGAACTATGTTGATGCTTTGGTAGGATAAAACAGTTTCTGTTGCAGGTATTACTTCAAGATCCATTTCTGAAAATAATGGTGACCTTCACCTTTATACCGGATCAATGTTGTCTACTGGAAGAGGGAGGTGGAGATAACTCTATAACTTTTTGAGATTTGTTTGAAGTTGTAACATCTTCTTTCCGGTTTCTATTACAATTCATCAAGGAATGCAGAGTTGACCTTAACCTGACTGGGTAAACCACGTGATCAGCATCATCCAATAAAAATTCTAGTTCTTTCTTTAACCTTACACCGGAGTTTTGCCGTTTCGTGTTAATGGGGGGTGGCTTGGTATTCTGAAAATGGAAATGATTGCTTACTTTCCAGTTATTAACATTTCGTGTAAGCAATTCAATTTTATTGATTTAATGTTACCCCACACAATATGTTAGAAATATGATATTCGAATACAAGACGTTTTTGAAAACATCAATTTAACTGTGGGTAGTATTAGACCTCTGATCCATAGGATCTGCTTGAGTTTATGTTGAATATATTATGAAATGAGGTATCTTTTGCTTCCATGTTTCTATTTTTTACAAAGTTATCGCAATAACTTACTGAAGGTGTGGTTTGTACTGGTTCTTTATTGGGAACATTTAACCTGATTTCTTTATCCGTTGAGGGTTTGCTTTCAATCTGAAATAAAAGAGAAAATCATAGAGATACTTGCCAACAACAATAATCAAATAGATTCAGCCGTTGCTTCCAGCTGCTCTTTGTAGCAAAAAAAACGTCTTCATTAGCCAACATGGTGCATAAAAGTAGGAGGTAAAACTCCATTCATTTCATTGTCATTTTCTTTGTAGCAAAAAAAAAATAGCTAATGATACGAACTACAAAACGGAATAACATCGGTTGCAGGAAAATAACTATGCATATGAGGAATTATATCAACTATAAATGGGGAAAATTTCAACGAAAGTAGGATCAGGTGTCTAGAATATAAGCATACCCAGGCTGGCGCCACCATTGAAAGTTTGGCTTGAGCAAGAATTTAAAGGAGATATCCGAATATGAGAATGTTTTGGAGAAGCTGAAAATAGGTTAAAGATACAGTATCCTACTTTTTCATCAGTGTTATCTGAATCCGATACTGTTGCTGGAATACCACGATCTTTTGGTGGCTTCCTACCAAATTGAAGACGTCTTCGTGCTTTAGTAATGGATGCTAAAAATAAAATACAACCAAACTACAAATCATCGTTAACAGATTGGGCGGTGATATTTATCAGTAACAGAATGTCACTGTTGGATTGTAGGCGAACTAGAGTCATCGGATTGTTACACAGATAGTTGCAAATCAATTCTGATAAAAAATGAATATTTTAGAAAACCGCACACTCTTATAATTCAGATTATCAATATATTATATACGTACGAGGATGTTTGTCACTGGATGAGCTGGTCGGAGTTTGCTGGGTAGGAGTATAGTGACCATTTCTTCTGCTAGCCTCGTATCGTCTAGTCTTCTTCCTTGAACCCATTTCATTCGATAAGTGGCACACTGTAATGACAAACAATGTATTTCATTTGAGATTATGAACATTAAAACATCTGGAATGCATTGTATTGATCAATAGAAACACTGGAAATACAAACAATTCATTTCATTGGGCATTATGCTCATTTCAAGCAAATAAAACTCATTTCATTTGTCAACGGGCATACTGGAGTGACAAATATCATTTGACATTATGCTCAGCATTGACCCATAAAACAAAATGGAATACTAAATTTAAGCGTTTTTTGTACCCAATATGTCAATCAACAGAGAAGAAAACATTACCACATCGGCGACCAATATGGATTAGGGATATCAATTCAAAGGTCCTCGAAAGGTCCATACACAATATTATGATGCGTGCAATTAAATTCAAGAACAAAACCGAAATATCTCATACAAAATACCAAGGTATCACCTTTCTGTCTCGTCTAATTAAAGACCGGGTTATCTAAACGTGGTTATTCATTAATTATATACATTATTCATTATAGTCGCTTGTTCGATACACCCACTCAAGGCAACAATTTAGTACTACACAATATCTTGTGGTCTTATTAGTTGTCGAATCGTGGTGGAGGTCTTTAACTATTTATAAAGTATAGATATCAGTTGAAGTTTAGACTAAGAGAGATCATGTTGAATTGTAATTGTATTCATGGGACCGAAAAAGAACGGTAAGTAGAATGCAATTACTCTACATTATAAAGTCCATCGAGAATGAAATTCATGCTATACAATGGTAAGCATGCACATCTTGATGAACACGATCAAACTGGATGTATTTCAATGTCAGTCTCTCTGACTAGCATCTATAAACCGTATATTTAGAAATTCGGCGACTTCGACTACATCGATCGGCTTTATGATCACGTATTCCAATTGTTTAGATAGATAGTCCCGATTCAGTGCCCATTAACGTCCGCTACAACAAAATCCGCACGACATATGCTTCACATAAAAAAGTAAAACTATGCAACAAAATTCATATAGCTAGAAAGTAGAAAATGAGCCTCTGATGGCACCTGTGATTTTTCGGTCGTCTTTATGCTCATGTCGAATACCACAGATTGACTTAACTGAAAGTACTGTAAAGAACTACAGAACGTTCGGAACAAGATCGCGTTACAAGATCGCGCGTTAAAATTCAAATACGCAAATGGTATATTCTTACAAGTATTCGAAGCCGGCTAAGCATGCAGGGGCAAATCCAGGGCCTATTTCGCTCTAGCAACCAAAGTGGCAACAGTCTGTATGCCTGGAACTCAACCATCGTCGAATAAAAGTCCTGCTTATCTATTTATGTTCAAAAGGGAATGTAATTTTTGCTGCAGAAAACTCTCATTTGCAACTGGAAGCGATATTTATGAAAGGGTGAGAAGCAAAATAATTTAAAGCAAACAATTTTGTTATTTGTCTAGGAGCACGCCCACATTTACTAACGGCATTTTCCATTTTACGAGCATAGATTTGTGTTAGCGTTCCATAAATTAAAGGAAATTGAACGCCCAAGCTGTCCCGGAGTAGTCGATGTAGTTATCTTACAATTTTGAAAATTTTTAAATTTATTCTCTATGATTTCTATTTTACCAATATTAATTCATTCATTCACTCAATTTGTATATCTATACTTCACTTTCTATTTTCTATCTGTTTGTATGACGTTTATCTATGTTGAAATCTTCAAAATTGGAGGAAATAAAGGAGTATATAAATGTGCAAGAGCAATGGTTTACGCATATCGATTTAACCGATTACCAAATCCCTAGTCGTCAGTCAGCCTAACCTACATTACAATATCACAGTCGTATATCTGGTATAAATCATTAATCCTCTATAACCATTCAATCAAGCACGTTAATCTCTTCTATACCTTACACACTACTAATCTTCTTAATCCCACCCGCTACCGGGTGATATCAACATATGACGTCACGATAGAACGTTGCTACGTGACGTTTAGAACAATAGGATCTAGTTAGTCGATTGAGTGGCAAGCTGGGATATAGGTATAGGGCTTCGATCTGCGAAAGCAACATTTTCTGTCCTGTATTCGTTTTGTGTTGTGTTTTGGAATAAAACTGAATGAAATATCGTTTGTAAAAAAGGCAGGATTTCCATAGAACCATGACGGAAGTCGAAGGTAATTTGTTACTTTAAAATATTCTAATCTACCAGTGGTTATAATTACTAAAAGCCAGAAAGATACGTTAAATGCAGTTGTAACCCAACATTGCATACAATGGGAAATGTATTATCAATATTATAAATCTTGAAAATTGTTTTATATACTACAAAGAAATACACCTGGATCAAGATAGGATAGCATAAATGTATAAGAGTCCATAAGATCAAATCATGATACTAACTATCTGTATCATAAGAGAAGATATGGGTGGTCTATGCTCCTTGGAGAATTAGTTACCACAGGTTGGGCATGCATGCAGACCAAGAGCAATTCTTGAAACCACAGTGAGTGCGTTCGGGAGACTACGTCTTGTGTTCGACCACCTGTCTTATGTAGATCTATATAAAGAGGACCATATTGTTTAAACCGGCGTAAACAAACCTATCTGATCTATATATAATTAATAGTATCATGTTTCCAATTTAATCCATGAACAAGATCATTTAATATTTTAATACCCCACATGGCTCAGTACAGATCAATTCGACCCCCGACTGTTAAACACTGGTCTATTCTGTAGAGTTGAAATTGAATTCTTCAGGGTTGACATAAAAGTGAAATGTCGAAGTTAAACCTCCGATGGTGGCGTTGGTGAGGGCGGGTTGGGGATGGGATTGGCCACCAGTTTAGAATTTCTTATCATTGAGTTTATTTATGCCTCGTGTTGTGAGCCCTCCTAGATAATTCCATGGTCCCCACTCAGCCCTCCGCCTTATGATGATAGAGACGGCACTGGCCCTGGGTTCTCAGCAATTACCCATTCCTTGTTACCTTATTGCAAGACACAATGCCTCATTTCCTGGCTTGAAAATATGTCTTGTAATTAAAGTAGAGCACAGTATGACGGGAATGGAATGGAAGTTCTAATAAAACGGCATTGTTTATCAAGAATCTGTTCTCCAAGAAATGAATATTTATTTGAAAATCGAAGGCTGAATACAAATATTTTTGTATTTTCAATATATAACCATATTACTAAATTCCCTATAAATCTAATTTACAGCAAATAGACGCGGAGAGGGCTTCCCAGAGAAAGGTATAACGATGCTTTACCTCATTTTCTGCACATTGTACACATTTGCATGCACGGCTGTCATAGAGCACATTGAAGCTGCACTTCTACACTTTCACTGCACAAACTTGTGTTTGCACCCAATGCATTAACTTAATACGTTCTGAATTTGATTTTCATAAATAATAATAATTATTGTTAAGTTACAACAATGTTGGGACTTTCGAGGCATTCGACAGCTCCTTCATATATTAAATGTTGTGCCTTATCTCGTTCTTTAAGTTCTTTGGGTGCCTTGATTATTTGAGCCAAAAACGTTTCCAATACCAATCTTGTCAATCGTGCTATCCCTGCATTGTGAATAATTATTGTTTTGACATACTTGACTTTTCTATTTTTTAGGTCTGTAAACAATTCGTGCTATTTAGAATTTGCATTTTATAGTTTTTACATTTGTTCCCCCACAACATTTAATAGCATTATGGTAACAATTATCGGCATTGGTCATCAAATCATGACATCCAGGTTAATATTATTGTCTCCTTCTTTATACTTTCTTTTCATCTTTCAGCCGAATATGAAAGAATCCGTAAACAAGGCCGAGAGCGGTTACTGTTACTCTCTAAACCAAAGGAGGTAAAGAAAGAATGGTATACAAACGTTGGGTAAGTGGTTCAACTTCCACGTCTGAACAGAAATACCAACAGCATAATGCACTCCTCACCCTGTAGCATTCAGTAAACACTTAAATATCTGAAGCATTGCGAAAAGCTTTAAAATTCGATATTGCATTGTGGAAACCCCACTGGTTTCAGTAATAAAACACTTGATGAACTACGACTGACATTTAATTGGAAATTCATTTAGATCAAAAATACTATATTCTATATTAGCAAACGTCTAATTCTTGTTGCACATAGCACAACGTATTGGCTCGATTATTACATGTCGTTTCTGAGACTAAACCATCTCCCTATAACTGATTTGCTAACATGAAATAGATTGTAAATGACCTGTCTTTGTCGTATTTCAGACCAGATGTATCTTGGGGTACACAAGAAATGCTATGGCCAGTAACAAAAACCGCCAAACAAGCTGAAGCTTCCAGAAGGGTCAGAGAGTTAGCCACACCAAAACGTAACTTTCAGGACGAGACAAATAACATTAATGTGTAAGTAATCGTTCAAAATCGACGATCGCCTAATTCAACAGTTTACATGAGTAACTTAAGTAACTTTCGAAGCCATCGTTTTTGTATTGTCTTAATTAAGAGGTTGCATTGGTAACTTTTGCATTAAGTACACGCACATCTATAATTATAAATAATTCATTACCAATACCACTCGAGAGGTAAAACTTCAATAAGACACCAGCAAAAAAATAAAACAGTGAAATGGACGTACTGTCAGCAAGTGCCAAGTTGTCTGCAATCATCTTCGACAATATTAAGGCAATGAAACTTCACTGGCAAATTGATCGAACTGTTATTTTGGTTTATGCCTTATAAGTTGTAACGCACAGCTATCAAGTAAAACTGATAATGGTCCCTTTATTTTCCAGCCCCTTGTACTACTACAGTTGTGGTAGATCGTCCACCATATTTGATGTACCAGATGGTGCTAAGAAAGCTTCAGCATCCGCTCGTATTGAACAGTTAGCCCAACCTAAGTCAGATGTTTGTAATCATAAAGACGATATGTAAGTAGACGTTTCTGGACTAAAGAACAACTGGAAATAAACCACACATACACAAGCGTATATATACTTACGGTCCGAAAAGCAAACGAAACCCAAAATGTGAAATAAGAATTGGCAAAACCTTGGTACCATCTAATGAACTATTCATTAAATGATATAGAACAGTAGAGTAATGAGGAAGAATAATCGAGCTATGAATGGTGTATCAAAGCAATATAGAACATCTCAATATTTATCTATGATAATGACTCCGGGCACAGTGGTGCTTTCGTAGATAATATGGAAATATTTGTAGGTAATATTGGTTTAAAAAAAAACTTAGTATTATTTACTAACAGCAGGAATAACCCAAAATTCTATAAGAATAATCCAGTTTTGTAAATTGAAGAGCATCTTGTTCCGTAAACAAGCACAATATATTCAGATGAAATAACAGCTGTAAGAATGTAACCAATGCATAGTTATGAAGATCGTTTCTGCATATACCCATCTCATTTCAGTGCCCAGTTTGTATACAGTTGCGGTCGATCCAGTCCTATTACAGCGGCCCCACCCGTACAGTCAGCAGAACGACCCCGAACCAATCAACTAGCCACCCATAAGAATCCACACCCTGAATTCGAGCCCAGTAAAGAAATCCAAACCATAGTCAGTACAGCAGCGATGAAAGCCAGCGCCTCAGAAAGAATAGAAGGGTTAGCAAATCCTAAAAATAGACCAGTTGGTCCTTTCAGAGAACCAGAATGGCTGGTAAGTTGCTAAATGTAGCTCTGAAGAAATCGTGTTCCTAAAATAAGGCTCAAACAACTTACAAACCACGTGATATAAGCTGATGCCAAGCAGTGGTACTTCTGTCTTCAATGAATTCATTTGTTGCCAAATAGTTGTTGCCAACAACCGTTTGTTGAGCAGTCTATAACAGTAACTTCAGCATGTCAATTTTGAGACTTTCAGCTGCAATTTCTCAATGTCACTTTCGAAAAATTAATAGTGATTAATGTCTCATAGTAATAAAAAATCTTGAACAAGGCTAAATTTTTTACTCCCTTTTACTTTTCAGGTATCTGACTCGGCTAAGAATGCAGCAGCTTCAACAAGAAGTGTAGAACTAGCGCGTGCAAAACCTCTAGCTGAGGGTTACCAACCACATAAAGAAATTGAATGGCCCATTAGTAAAGGAGCAAAACGAGCACAAGCTACACCTAGAGTGAATGAACTATCCCAACCTGTAGTCAGAGCGTCCATGGATCACCTCCAGTTCAATCCTGATGCGTTTGTGGTAAAGGCGAGTGCTCTGAAAGGCATTTGTCCGAAAAGAGTGGACGAATTGGCACAACCTATACAGAGATAATTCACATGCAAACATAAAAAAAAACTTTTTTCAAAGAATTACAAAAAAAACCCTAAAATAGAAAATATTTGCTACTGTATTTTACAAAAACTTAATGCGCCATAGATGATTCTGTGAAAAGAGACGTTTATATGATAGGACGTATAGGATACTGTTCTTGTATATAAAAACCAAATTTCGTATAGTCTCTTCAACATCGAAACTATTACATATTTCTCCCGTGTTTTGTCTGTAGCAGGTAAAATTATGGTTGTCCAAAAGTAAAACTTAAGCAAAAATAAGGGGGCGCATCTGCACAATGTCAAACCATAATGAATGAAACGTTTTAATTTATTGCAATACTAGTTATTCGCTAACGTGCAATCCAATCAAAGTAGTTTGATCAAAGAAAAATAAGATAGCTTGCCAGGCAATGTAACATACGCCAACTACCAACTGTCGGAATTGATAACAAAGTCTGTAATGGTTTAATATGTGAAACCAATCATCCGATTGTTACTGATTTCAAGCTTTACTGAGATCTCATGCCAAGTTTCATCAAAAAACGAATAAAAAATGTAGTCTCTATCAGGTCTTCATGCCAAATTAGAGGCAATGAATGGGCCATAACTCCAAAACCATTCATCCAATTTTTACCATTTTTGAACTTGAGATCTCATCAATATATACATGCATACCAAGTCTCATTGAGATCAGATAAAACCTGCACTCTGTATCATGGCTGCAAGCAAAATTTGAAGCGTTTTACCTAAGTCATGGGCAATAACTCTAAAACCATTCATCCGATTATGACCAAATTTAAACTTGACCGAGACCTTATCAATATATACATGCATACCAAGTTTCATCAAGATCGGATAAAATTGCAGCCTTTATCATGCAAGCAGAATTTAAAGCGTTTATACTAAGTCAAGAGCCATAACTCTGAAACCGTTCTTCCGATTAATTTCAATTTCGAACTTGACCAAAATCTCAACAATATATACATGCATACTAAGTTTCATCAAGATCAGATAAAAATTGCAGCCGTTATCAAGCATACAAGCCAAATTTAACGCGTTTTTACTAAGTCAAGGGCAATAACTCTAAAACCGTTCATCCGATTATTACCAATTTCGAACTTGACCGAGATCCCATCAATATATACATGCATATCAAGTTTCATCAAGATCAGATAAAAACTGTAGCCTCTATTGTGCATACAAGAAAAATGTGGACGGACGGACAGGGGTGACAGCAATTTGAATGTGGGCGTATAAAAAATGGCTATTGCAGTCAATACGAAGTTCGTAATAGGTCGACGTTGTGAAGATGCAGTGGGGGAGATGAATATCAAAGTCATTTTCTAGCCACTCACAGATATCTAAATTAGATACATGATGTTATTTTTTGACCAAAAAAATTGGAGTAGACAGCGTATTTGGATTTATTTTGTGTGTTTGTCTATGTCTACAAAATTCCTTCAAAATCTTTTTCATCAGGTTGGTTTCAATTTACAAACATTGGGCCTCTTTTCACAAAACATCACAAAGGTAGATTTTAGTAAATATATTCAAGTACAGTTAGCACATTGACTAATACGTCTACTGGTAACGCCAGTATTTCTTGTTATTGGTTCATTCGGCAACCTTCGGCAGTTTCCGTTAAACTGAATCACAGCAGAACTTCCACGGTAGGCCATTTGTAATTGGACATCAAAAAAAACTTATGATCAATTTTGTCATTAGTTTGGTATTTCTATATTTAAAATTCCACACTAAAGACAAATTCTTATGAATATATAGCAATAGAGAGCGTATAGTGTATTTGATTCTATGTACACACCCCTGATAAGTTGGAAACTGTAATACCCATCAGTATTATATATAGTAATAAATTGTTTTAGTTAAAGAACTGTTTTGATTCTTCCAGTGAAGCCATAATGTACAACAATACCTGTCACAATTACCTTCTTTCGAGCTCTTAAAATGGCATAATAACTAGGCCAAACTATATGGTCAACTGAGTAAAAAGCATATTTGACGTTCCACAAGACAACATAGCCAACCATACTGTAATAGCAGAGGTGCTGGTTGGAACAGAGGTTTTGTCTATGGATTGTTCACTGGTCTCAAAAGAGCTAGTAGTAAATTTGTCAAGCAGAGACAATCAAAGTAACACAAATGAAACAGATACTACTGTAACTGCAATTTCGGTCTTTTCTTTTTCATTAATGTTACCAAAGATACAAGATGTGCTATGGAATTTCATAACGCATACTTTGTTCAGTAGATTTGTGTAGAATGGCTCAGCTTTTGACTCTGAAGACAAAATGAAACACAATGATCAATGAGTTTTTTTTTATTTACAGAATTTTACATTATGATGTGAACATGACAATTCTAATGAAATGAATTTTGAAATCAAATTGGGAAATGTTGAGAATGACCTTGACAGACAAAACAACAACATTTTCACAACAAAATTTAGTATCTTTCACCACAAAGTATATTAACATGATTTCTCCATCAAGAACTATTCTAACTTTGCGAAAACAGAGTCAAAAGCTGCCACATTCATAAAACACAGTCCTTATGTCATGAACATCTGATTAGAACTTGAAAATATCTTTGTTTTAGCACATAACTGTCTTGAAAATGAGCTTTGATTTGTTTCATAAAATCTTTTGGTAACAAATCAGCATCTATTTTAGAATTGGTTATCAAAACTACACTTTTAATCAATTTTAATGACCAATTGGAAGAAGAAAAATATCTGTAAAGTCTTTATGAGTTTAGATCCCGATTTTGCATCCTAATGGTCAGCCTGTCATTCCCAATTTGAAGCATTTGTACCTGCAAACAACAGTATGTCAATGAGGTGTAAATTCAAGAACTATCATCCCCACCTGTTCTTGAAGCTAAGAAATCTTCATATAAACCTGGAACTTTCTTAACTCCTTCTATTTTACGTTTAATCTGTTTTGGTGTGTGTTGAAATATATTCATTGGATCTCGAGCCATGGCCTGAAAGAGAGAACAACTTGAAACAGACATTTTTTTTTTAAAAGATTTCATAATTATCGCGATGGAAACGACTAATAAACGAAGGCAATAACTTAATAACAATGACACTAATCGAAATATGAACCAAAAATATGACATATTGCATATTGACATATGTGACATTTTTCATTATTTTGAATTATAGCTTCTACTGACCACATAATCTTCTCCATGTTTGTCCATCATCTTTAAACAGAAGTTAGCTATTTCTGGTGTGGTCCATATTGCTTTTAATCTTGGTGTGTAGGCGTCCTCTTCCATGGCTGAAATATTAAAGGAGACAATTTTGATGATCAGTCAAGATGAATTTTACTGAAGCAGCCTCTTAGTTTTATCACATTACTACCATAAAAGCTGCTAATAATAATAAAAGTGCATCACAGAACGCACAATTTCAGTGTAATTGCAAGAACCACAGACATCTGCCTAGATATTAGTATGGAGCAAATTGATGCTATCAGTGTCCTAACCATAAGAAGTTAAGAAAACCTCTTTAACAATTCAAACATAGCATAGAACATGACCAGATGCAAACATGGCCACCAGACTTTGTCACTGCTCTCTTGAAAGACTGGGAAAGGGATTAGGTGAAAGGGATAGTGAAGTCCAACATGTAAATTTTTCAACTTTTGGACTAGGACTTATCGATTGTAGTTTGGAAATGAAAAAAATCGGTTTCCTCCCTTTGATTGCCGATGCTGATGTGAAGTCTAACGACCAAGAAAACTTTTAACTCAAACATAATTTGAATATAAACTGTCTTATTTGGAAAGGGCAATAACTCAATATCATTTTAGTCTATATATTGAAATGTGTGGTCAAATGCATACAAACCTTGTACAACTTCAGGCTTTGTGATTTTTATTTCTTTTTCTACTATTTTTCCATCCTAAAATCATAAAACAATACAAAAATGTCTGTCTGTGAGTTGTCAAAAATTTATTTTGTAACAAAGACCTGTATAATGATGAATCTTTACTTTTTGCCAAAGCCGGAAACGAAATGCCTCTTTAAATAAAACAATCATTTTGCATAAGTTATGCTTCTTTAACTTGAAAAGTTCGATTGTGAACCCACATTGAGCTAGTTCTTGTGCTTAGGTGTTGGTAGAGACCAGAGTGATGTAGATCTAAAGTTTAAGACATTAACCTTTCTTATTTTCTTATGAAGAGTTTTATTTGGATCATAGGACAGACCCATTTCATCTAGATTCTTCTTTAAACTTTTCTTTTCATCCCAAGCTGTTCGCATAGGTTCACTAAAGAGTAAATCAAAAGGCATTACATACCATTAAATATAAATTGGCAGTTATTCCAACAGATTAATTTGCACAATTATGAGAGGTAAGCCAAAAATTGCAGTATTTTTGTCAATTTCCTGTCAATATTCTTTTGATTATTGAACCTGACCAATATTAGGCTAGATCTATACAAACGATCACTCTCAACTACAACAATAACTATTCAAAGCCAAAGATCAATTAACCTTCTGTAGCTACAGGAGGACAATCAAGCCTTCAATTAACATATCAATAATTTAAGTTTTGTTTACTTTGCACGATTTGACAGACAAATATTGAAATTTTCAGGACGAATTGACATATGGACGATTTGACTTATACAAATGTAGAAATTACCATCCAATTGTTGGCTTTTTCAACGATTTTTTCCAAGCTTTCTTTCTGTTTTTCGTGTGGTCAAATTTTCTTCTCATTCGTTGTCTTCTTGTGCTCCCCATTTTATAATTTCATTGATTTTTTGTCAAAACTACAAGGTAAACAAATCTTTAAAATAGCACGTGTGTACAGTCTACCCTTATTTTTCGAACCATCCAATTAACATAAAACGAAATATGGAACAATTATTTAATTTCAACGAAACTTTTGACGAATCGTGATACAATTAGCGTCCATTTTTCAATACTCATATTTTTGGATGAAATTGACTTGATTATATTTCACTGTAAAATTGTTTTCATATCTACGTTTTGAAAAGAAAATGGATAACTTCAAAACACGAAAGGTCAAGGTTATTGTATGTTTACTCTCTGTGGAAATGGATGAACAGTCTGAACAAACGCATGGAAGTCCAAAGCGCCCTACCCCACAGTTTAAATATATCCCCCCACCAAAGACTCGAAACCAGTCACGTTTGTCTGACAATAACACTGATGGCGAGTTTAGGCCAATTTACATTCCCAGAAACCAAACTCTTAATGATGCCATGAAACGTTATTTGAAGGAGAATCCACTTGTTGCGATTGGTAAGTATTAGCCCACAGAAAATACTTAAAAACTAAAAGGTTAAATTAGTCTGTGATATCCTTATTAGGCCAAATAAAAAAAATGAATTGGTTATCGTCCTTGCTACTAGAAAAAGGCGGTGCCGAGTACTGACTACTGTCATAGATGAAAAACAATCAAATAACACGCCAGCAATTAGTCACGTGACCTTGTCTATCGCTGCCAGAAATATTTTTGAATGGGAAAGTAGCAACAAAATCTACAATCATTGGCCCCCATGGCCAATCAAAGCCTCCCGTATATTCCAATCTAAAAAACATAGTGCACACGATCTATTTGAACGATTGATGTCGAAATATGTGGATGAAACATTCAAACTCACCAACTAGGACTTGGACAAATGATCGTCTGCATTCCTCCTGCAGCGGCTCGCTGTCAAATTTTCCGGCTACCAATTCTGAGTAGAATTCGGAAAGTGTCTTGTCGCTGGAGATGCAAACCCCACACCATGCTTTCAATAATGTGGGGTTTTTATCTTGCGCAATGCTAGCTACTACAAAATCCATTACATTAAATAAAAATGCGAAGACTAGTAAGTAGGCTAGTTTAAATGAATGTAGGATCAAAACAGTACTGAGTTCAATAACTTCAATGCGCAAGCGCAATGTCAAGGGAGGTAATTGTACCGGAAGCTTATACGGAGCATTCGGAACTGCATTGTTATTTCGATAAATTTGGACACTCGGCACGCTTTTTTAGACATTTTATGAGAAAATAAAAATTAAAAAATATATCGAGTCGGGCCGTTTTCTCCGGTCGGGCGGGGACGATAACCAACTTTTTTTTTTTATGTCGCCTTATAGTTATAGGCCTAATACATAACTGATAGACTGCACTTATTATGACAACATGTCATTTTTGCTTGGTAGATGGCAAGTTAACGTTTGCTTCCAGCGGATGCTGATAGAGCAAACTATGTAGTTGATGATAGTTGTAGTAGTTGGTAGTCTTTATTGTAGTCTTCACATCTATTATACTAGTCCAGAGAAATAGTCTGCAATCAAATCATGACAATTGACAATCGACATACATATTCTCGGATTATAGAACCACAGACTTGTTTCTATTTAATCAACTCATCAGATAAGGTTTAATTAAATTTGCTTGTTGAATCGAGTGTTTTTCTGTTTCAGGTGCAATTGGAATTCTGGCATCATTTGGTACAGGTCTGACACTATTCTACCGGGGAGTTCATCCAGTATGGGAAGAAAGAATGATGTGGTCTCGCTGTACTTTTCAAGCACTCACTGCCCTGGCTATAGGCTATAGTGAATATAAACGCGTCAAGGAGGTGGAAAAGATTTATAAGCAATATACACCAGAACAGATAAATCAGGTATTACAGAAGAAATATGGCATTGACCCTTCGAACCTTGAGAGTAAAAGAAAAAGTTGAACGTATCCACGTGAACTACAAGTAATATAAGTTAAAACTGTGTAACTTCATTTGGTAACAGCCGGTTTACCAATCGCTCGAGTATATTTTGCGTAATTATGTGGCTGGTAAACCGTCTCTAGGGTTGAAAGGGTTAAATAGAAACCTTTATTCAACATTATGATTGCAAGCTACAAGTTTAAAGGGGTGGTTATTTCACTGTGATTATACTGGTATAAAGAAAAAATTTTTCACCTCTGTTACGATATGAGTATAATCATAGTACCGTACTAGAGTAATATCTGCTATTGACTAAAAAAACAAGAGCTTTATCATTCACTAGTTTTACAAGTTTTAAGATTTGTAGATGCTATAACGTACTAACTGTCTTTTCAGAATTTACATTGTTGTAATTTCTCTTTGCATGCAGCGAAGAACATTTATTATAGTACCCTTTCAATTTCATCTTTAAGACTCAAATTGATAATTCATGTAAAAGAAACTTGTATGTTCTCTTCATGTGGCCTTGGTCAGTGCTTCTATAGGAGGGTATCTTCTATAACACTAACTTGAGTCCACTTCCACTTCTGTTTTTTGTTGGATTGTCCAATATGACTATGTGGTATTTACTGTGGCCGTATTCCCCAAAACCAAAGTAAAATCCAAAATTTAAGGAATACAGTAATCTGATTGAATAATGAAACTTAATTCAAAATCGATTATAGCGATTTAACAATAAGCTTATGGCTGGAACAATGAAATTTAAATTTTCAAGAATAAAGCCCCAGGACCAGTTTCTTCAAATATCATAAATTAACCTACAAGCATAAACATCAAATTAACGTCTTTCTACTCACTGAACTTGTGTCTAATCATACAAAATTTTGAGAAACAGGGCCAAGGTCTAAACTATTATAGACTTGAGTATTTTCAATCATAGTCAATGAACAACAGAAGTGCACATTTTAATTTCTATAAAGTCAGATTTATATGAAAGGTGACAATTATTTATGCACAATTGGTTTTTTCATCCATAGAATGTGATTTTAAATCATTATTCAAAAATAAATGACAGTCAATGTATATATTTGAAATTCAGGCTATATACTGTTAAGTTTATATCCTTAATATTCAAGTCAAAGGCAACTAAACACTGAATATATTATCATCATGTAGAAAATTATCAAATATGCCTTATTAAAAGAATGAATAAAGGGTTAGTTATGTTATAAGTTCACAATATTGTTATGTAATATAATGTATGATAAGTTATGACTACAGATTATGTATAATAATAATATGTGTGGATGTTAGATTGGTAATAAAGTTTTTATTCAGTTTGAATATCATTTGTAAATACGAGGAATAGACTGTACAGAAACCAAACTCAGCATATAGGACAAGAATGCTGTTTTGTACATTACCATTAAGTTTTTTTCATTCCGCCTACATCGTTAAAATATTTATGATTGCTATTTCTCTTTCATCTTTCGGTCTAACATTTATCTATGATGGATGGCTTATTTAAGGACATGTCCTGGTATCTTTGACATAATTTTAAAAGGCTAAGCTCAGATATCTGCTAATTGATGCAAATTTGTACAATATCTTTGTATTTCATACAATGTTTAGTATATAAACTTTTTTTATTGTGCCATAAATTTGAATATTTCTGAGATTGGAATTACCTGGGATGGCTACTTTAATTATGTGTATCCATATTGCAGTCCTTCAAATTTTGTTTGGTTTATAGTTTAATATTATTGTAGCCTAAAGAAGTAGCACATCTTGTGCTTTTAAATTACTCAAATCAAGTACATGTTATATGAAATTGTGTTTGAATGTGCAGATACTTTAATGACATATGATTCAAGAAAACCGTTGTGGACTGTAGTATTTGATATTCACTTGTGAAGGGAGATAAATCTATATTATTAATAATATAAACTACAACAAGCTTATTGACCCGGGAAGGAGTCGTAGCAAAAAGTCCAATACACATTAAAAGGTCAGAATTTATTTTCCCTACCACCTATAACAGCATCCAAGTTTGTTAGTACACCTGTCATAAAGTTCATGATGTGGTACAAATTTGTAAGAATAAAATTCCAGATATATCTTAATGTATAGCGCTTTTTTTAACCCCTCTCACAACGATATCTATAAACTGGGCGAAAGGAGGGGGCGTGATCGCTTCGTTCTTGTTCTTACAAGATAAGTGTAACATATATGTTTATATTTCAGGTGATTTAATAACACTCTTAATAATATCATAAAAATGTTTATTTTTATCACTACAATAATCATTAACAAAGTGAGTTAAAACAATATGAAAGAAACATTTTTTATGAGGATAATAACTATCCTGTCTATCCTGCACTATAATCTATCCTCAAAATAACAGTAAATACTGGCCTTATAACATATTACATAATATTGATGCAATAATAACATATTTTTAATACATTAATTGTAGAACGATATAGAAATTAAAACAGAACTTGATTGTTACTCTAAGAGTTTACGCTATCTTCAGACAACTGACCTATTACATATAAACTAATGCTCAAAAGAAAGTACCCACCTATATAATTTACAGTACGATTAACAAAAATTAAAATAAAGTGATTAAACCACTGTAATACACCTCACACACGGTCAACACAAAATTTCACATGAAAAAATGATGAAAAAAGTGAACGAATTACGCAAACGACGCTAAAAATAAAAAGCGACAAATTCTGATGTTGCACGAAATGCACGTGCATGATGAGGGTATAAATCAGTTTACTGGACAAGTTAGCAACAGAGGATAAAGAAAAACACCAAAAGTATGCCACGTTTGAGCCGGATTGAACGAGAAAGAGCTGTGGGAATGGCGCAACATGGAGCAAACATCACCTTGATCGCAAAAACCTTCGGCTGCTCCAGAAAAACTGTAACAAAATTGATGCAGCGTTTGAGGCAAACAGGCAGTACATCAGACAGGCCTGGGAGTGGTCGACCACGTGTCACAACGCCAGGTGAGGACCGCCACATCAGGACAATTCATCTGAGGAATCGTTTCGTTACTGCAACAGCAACGGCATCGGCGGCATTGGGGCATCGTATCAGTCGACACACAGTGTACCGGCGACTGAGGGAACGTGGTATCCGAGCACGTCGCCCCTACCGAGGAGTGCACATGACACTTCAACACCGACGTCGTCGATTGACATGGTCCAGGAGAGTTCGGCGATGGCAGATTCGTGATTGGCAACGTGTGATGTTCACGGACGAGAGTAGGTTTTGTCTTTACAAAAATGATGGTCGTGCTCGTGTTTACAGACGTATAGGTGAGCGTTTAAGACCAAATTGTGTTCAGGAAGTCAGAGCGTTTGGAGGCGGTAGTGTGATGGTGTGGGGAGGGATCTGCGATGATAGGAAAACACCACTTGTGACTATTCGTGACAACCTTAATGCTCAAAGGTACAGAGACGAGATTTTGCGACCAGTTGTTCTACCATTTATCCGGCAACAACCCCGTGGCATTGTCTTTCAACACGATAATGCAAGGCCACATACAGCAAGATTGACAATGACTTTCTTCAAACGCCAACGTCGTTGTTTTACCGTGGCCAGCTTGTTCTCCCGACATGAATCCGATTGAACACCTATGGGATTACCTCGATCGGCAAATCCGAAATCGACCGACGCAACCTGTCACTGCTCAACAGCTGGAACAATGTCTCGTAGAAGAATGGCAAAGAATAACGCCTAACGTCATCCAACGTCTTACATCATCAATGCGTCGACGTGTTGTCGCCTGCATTGCTGCTAATGGGAGTCACACTTGCTATTAATTAATTAATTGATAAATAAATATTGATTATTTTTTAAAGACAATTTGCCTTCTGAATTTCTGTAAAAGTAAACCCGACCCCCCTTGTCTTTGTGTGCCGGTCGAACAGTAAACACGGCTGTCTGTTACTTAAATTTGTGTAAATTTGTTGTAGAAATGAATATTCTATTGGAATTACATAGTTGTTCATTTCTATCTGCTTTTGTTTTCTCCTAACAATTGGTCAAACCTAGTGGGTACTTTCTTTTGAGCATTAGTTTATTTTACCTTGCCCCTTTTCTAAAACCTCTCAGAGGATATATCAAGTTTAATTCTGTTATTTATCTTTTACATGATTGCAATGGCATAAATACATGTAACTCTAGAAAATAGAATATTAATTTTTTGTATCATTAAAGAAAGTACAAAATCTATATAACTAAATTAACATTTGATTTCAATATCGCTCTACAATTGATGGATTGAGCACTATGCAATATTTTAACAGTGATATTTCTATATCACTCTATAATTGATGTATTGAGTACTATTTTAACAGTGAGAATATTTTGTTATTTGTGGTAATCCAAACTTGAAGTTGGTAAATTTTTTAAAATCAATTAAGAGGCTCTAGTAACAATGCTTGGTTTTATAAAAAAAAACTTCAATTATATCATATTTTCCCTCAAATTTTCTACTTTAGATTGTTAAAATTTATAACACGTTCAACTTCAATACCTCATCTATCTATAGCGTCATCTAATAAATTCTGTAGATCTTGACTGATTGAAAAAAAATCTCTTTCGCCCAAGATTTCTGTTAATTTTTGCTACCAAAGACATTTCTGAGAGTTGTTTGAGCAAGAAGCTGAGTAGAGTGAGCAGCATTTTGAACATCGACCACAGCCACTGTAGGGTTTGATATTTTACAGTAGACCTCAGCATCGACTGAAATGTCTCTTGTTAGTACCTCTTGTAGAGAGATATCAAACAATTTAGTTCTTAAATCAAATTTTGTATATTGTTCAATACATGGTAATATATATGGTCCCTTTGCCCCTCCTGATACTAGTCAACCGAGACTAAATATAACGGCTCTTTCATGGTTGGTAGATGACAAGTTAACGTTCGCAACCAGTGGATGCTGATATCGCAAACTAGGTAGTTGTTGGCGGCTCTTTCATATTCTTGAACAGCCTTTATACAGATACACAATAACAATGGTATAGCAACCATGTCAAAGAAATATGGTAGAATCGTCAAACAAAAAAATAGCCCACTAGAATCTTCATTTTCACAAGATACGAAATTGATATCCTGAACATTCATTCTCAGTCATCATGCGTCGTTCCACAAGACATGTGGTTCATACACAATACAACAAGTGTGACTGGGTAATGCGATATAGCCTTTTAACACCTCGGGTTCTCGACACCTATGACTCTTTGATCCTCCTAACAAATGAGGGTTTAAAGTGTTGTAATACCTTTTCCGGATTATCAATTGTTTGTTTTTCTTTTTCGTGACAATAAAAGTGTCAACTCTCAGCCAATCGACGCCCTTTGTCCAATCAGTTCTCCAGGACAGGGACGATTCAGTTTCAACCGATCAGAATATAGTAATTGTTTCTCCTGAATGATATTATGAAGTTATAATCTAATAAATGTTTTACTCGTAAGGATGTTTATGTGTTTTACATGAAAAACAGTAAAATTTTGGAAAGTAGCATTGAATTAGCGGATAAGATTCGAACATCATAAAATGGCTAACAGCAAAATGCATAAAAAAGTAAAGTTAGATCTTTACGAATGGAAGTGAAAGTTAAAAAGAAAGTCAAAGAACATAAGAAAAAACTAAAGAAAGAAGCCAAGAAAAATCCACATCTTAAAAAAGGAAAAAAGGACCCTGGAATACCCAATTCATTACCAGATATTGATATTGATGGAGGCTGAGAAACGTAAACTGCAGCAAGAAGAAGAAAAAGAAAGACAGAAAGAAAGAAATTAGAGAGAAATGAAGAAATAAGAAAAGAAATTTGGACACACTTGTTCAAGAGGCATTGAAGAAACAAAGAGTTTTTGAAAACAAGAAGACTACTCAGCCCAATGATACACCTTCTCAAAATGGTGGTAAACCACTTGAAAATTCTATGAAATTATTTTATAAGGAATTTCGTAAGGTTGTAGATAAAGCTGACGTGATATTGGAAGTTCTAGATGCCAGAGATCCGTTAGGTAGTAGGTGTCATGAAGTGGAACAGTCTGTTTTATCATCTGGTACCAATAAAAAACTGGCCCTACTGCTAAACAAAATAGATTTAGTACCAAGAGAGAATGTAGAAGCCTGGCTGAAGTATTTACGCAATGAGTTTCCGACACTACCAATTAAGGCTTCAACACAGTCACAAATGGATAATCTGTCACAATCTAAACTAGATATTAGTAGTATTAGTGATGAACTCTACAGATCCAGTCATTGTCTTGGAGCTGCGAAGTTGATGAATTTATTACGAAATTATTGTAGATCTGAAGGCTTTAAAATGGCTATCAATGTAGGAGTCGTTGGTTTCCCAAATACTGGTAAAAGTAGCATTATAAACAGTTTAAAAAGATGTAAATCGTGTAATGTTGGAGCTACACCTGGTGTTACAAGAATGATGCAAGAAGTTCAGTTAGATAAACATATAAAATTACTAGACAGTCCTGGTGTAGTAATGGCTCAAGGCAAATCAGATGTAGCCCAGATTCTTAGAAATGTTGTCAAAATAGATACTTTGCCAGATTCAATTGAAGCCGTAGATGCTATAGTTAACAGGTGTAATAAAGAACAATTGATGCTACATTATAATATTGTGGATTACCAAGATGTACGAGAGTTTCTGGCCCTACTAGCTATCAGATTGGGTAAATTGAACAAAGGGGGAATACCCAATGTTAATAAAGCTGCAAGAATTGTACTTCAAGACTGGGTCAGTGGTAAAATAACATATTATACTCATCCACCAGAGCAAAGTGATGTACCAGCCTATGTCAGTGCTGAAATAGTTACTACCATGTCCAAGGCGTTTGATATAGAAAGTATTAAACCTCAAGAAATTCAAGTTCTAGATACATTAAAGAAGAAGTCTTGTAAACACTTTTTGGTTGATAGTGTTGGTCCAATACCAACTTTAACACAGGAGCCTCTATCAGAAGACGAACTCATGTCAGATGATGATGGGAATGACGAAAATATAATGATTGATAATGATGAAGTTGAAGCTATGGATGAAGAAGCAGATGGAAAAATTGAGCTGAGTAACACGACTATTATCTAAAACTAAGAAAACGAGTCAAATTACAGAAGATTATGTGGTAAGAGATGTTATGGAAAAATGTACAGCTCAATAAAGGAAGAAAGAAAGAATTTAAACAATTGCAGAAGAAAAAGAAACGTAATGACGTGATAGCTGGTAAGCTATCTGATGCTTTAAACTCGGCCTTACCTTCACAAACTAAAGCTGACATGATGTGTGATGATGATGATGATGATAATTATGATTTTGATTCTCATTTCTAAATTTGTATTGAAAATAGTTAATTGTATTGCTGTCATAAAAAAGATGTTTATTGTTCCTTTCATGGTGTTATCCTTCCCAAATAAATAGTCTTCAAGCCTCAAAGGTATCATGTTATTCATAGGCGTACAGGTCGAATGCAGACTGGTTTGTCTGAAAATGTTGAAATGTCGAGCGTAGCACTCCTCTGAGCACCGATGGCGAGAGTCGACGAAAACACTTCTGTCTGTCCGATGTTTTTCGGTCGATAAGATAATATTTGCGGTATACAAGTTCACCATTTTTGGGGAATTGATTTGGGGCTTCAATTTATGTAAATAGTCTTCAGTAGTACTAGAAACGTACGACAATCGCATAATTATATCAAAAACTAGGATTTCTATTCATATTATGTCTTTCCTAAATATGGCAGAATCTCAAGAGAATGCGAGTGCGCACGCGCACATATCCTTGGGTAAAAGGGCTCGACCCAGTTGCGTGTTTACACTGCACTAATATTTTGCCATTTTTTGGGAACTCGGCCAACTTGTAATTAGCACCATTCTGACCCCCTCAAAACTCGTTCACTCCGCAACTTTGTCCCGACTCGTCCCTGATAATTTGGCAGTCTAAACTAGGCTTAAGGTACGATTGGTCAAACAAATGGCAAACTTGTCACTATATGTAATGCTTTATTTTACATACCAGAGTCTCATTAACTGACTGTAATTTCTCAGTGGAGATTTTGAGAGTATTTACTATCCGGGATTTGGTAGAATTAATTCAACGTAATTCCGACAAATATTTTATATTGGTAATGATGTACACCACCACAGTCATACTAATAGATAAAACAAGAGGAAACGAACCGCAAAACGAAACCCGAAATCCAAACAACATTTTTGGCGACACAATAGTATTTATTTACGTTGAAACTAGGTTTGACTGACGATAGAAAAGTAAATAAATGTATGTGATGCGTATACCAAATCCCATCACTTCCCCATGATAGGTTTTAATGTCCACATATCCTTACACCATAGATTCTGTGACAGGAGCGGCCAATTTTGACCCTAGAGGTATAATGTTACCTGTCACTTAAAAGGGGAATTTGCACCATTTATCTTTCTGTAAGAGAGGTTTTATGACTAAGTTTAATAAGAAGGGGCTCTCTTGACCTCGAAGGGATGGTCATTATATTATGGCAAATTCTTCTGGGTCACAAATAAAGGACAAGAATTTCTGCATTTAAATATATCTAGAGATTGAAGCCATGCCATAATTGATGGGTCTAAACTGAATTTAAGATGACATGATCTTTAAATGATTAAGGTACAGTTGGTAAGAGTTGAAAAGTGATACCATATTATGTGAAATAGTAAAGACTTACCTGTTCCACATATGGTATCCCTTTTCATTTCAGATGAAATGATGTGGTATAAGATTGAGCAATGTGACTCTTATAATATAGTTAAGTGAACCTCCTATCAACTATGCCGTAATAACTGTGACGTTATTACGTTAAGATTGTGTCATCTTTAATTCAGAACAGTCTTATTACTTATGACATGGTAACAAGACGATGGTGATTGGAAAGACACAATTTACTGGGGATCTTTCAATCGAGAATAACCCAAATAGAATACTGCTTGCTAAACAATACTCTGGAAATAATTTGGAATTTATATTTCTATAGAGCCTATAGAGCAAGATAAACAATACATTATATTGTTTATCGTTAAATCGATATTGTTTGACTGAAATTGTCCTCTGTAAAAACAAATTTAAAAGTAATAATGATATGTTCGGCAAAGCAAAATCAATCAATCTGAATGATATTCCGATTAAACTATAACTGCGCGCAAAGAAGACCATGCTTTCTCTTTTCGAAACACCTGATGATACTTCTCTTGTAGGCGTCCGCTACTATACAAATTTCACCCTCGATTTTGCCATGTTTTGGACGAGATTTTTGATAAAAGGAATTGCCTTGCTTGTACGGATTTTTATTCAAAACTAATCGATAAACAATCGGTGGCTATCAGAAATAGGATGATTTGTTTCATGTTCAAATATCTGTCAGAACTGTGCTTAACATATTAAAAGACTTATATATTCAGCTGGCTAGCAGCAGTGTACCTTATTGACATTATCTGTTTCCAATTCTATGCCAGAACTAGGCTTGGCTTAATGACAACTAGTTAGCGGAACAGCGCTTGTCTTAGAACCAATTAATTTTGATAAATTGCTTTGCTGGGGTCCTGTTGTTACCCGGAATATGTTTGGTACTATGACGCTGTTTTCAGAACAACATGTCTTAAAGGGACAGATTCGCCATTTTCGGGTCTTTAATGTATGTAAACAGTCTTCAGAAGTACTCGAAATGAAAGGATCACAAACTTTCCTATATATGACTGAGTCTCAAGAAAAGACGAGCCATCTGTTAAACTTCTAAACACAGATAAGATCAGGACATATATACGTGGATTTGAAGTCTCAAATTTCGATGGTGAGCTGTAAACACTATTGCAGATTAGCTTACCTATAAAAGATTAAGGTATGATTGGTTAAAGGAATGGTCCCTTTAACGAGCACTAGCTATGTGCCCTAGTGATTGATGGGGACGAACATAATTGTATTGCATTCTTATGGTGTTGTTTTCAGTCGTATAATATGTTAACCAAATCATGCCACGATTGATAGTTAGGAAGTAAATAGCCAAGCCTTGTTTTCGGTGAAGGAATCCGCGGAATGATTGAGATGAGCCCATCATTTGACAAAATCACCCATTGTTGGGTGTCATAATCCATATGATTCGTTCGCATTATACTACCGTTACAATATGATTTACAACATTCTTTTGTTTCTGACCTCATTTTTGATGTATCATTTTGACGTCTGACGTCCATTACGCTGTGTATGACATATAACAGCTGACGTAACTTGCGTGTCCGACTATGATGAAAAATGTAGGTGGTGCTCGAGTATAAAACTTGTGGTATTGTTTCAATCGAATCATTCAAGTTTTGGTTGTCTCATCTCGAGGAGTTATCACAGTAAGTGGATGATAATAGTCATTAATGAGGACTCGGGCTTCAGACTTTAAGCTTATCTCACTGTCATAGAACATGCTTGTTACTTCTCTTAAGAAAGCAAAAGGACAAACTGTCGGTGGATGTTTAATGTGTACAAGCTGTATGCGTTTCGAAGCACAGTATGCGATAAAATCAGAAGTAGTATAGGCTATCCACATATCTTGTGTTCTTTATGTTAAGCTTCGAACTTGCATATGTCTTACACATATTAAGCGTAGAGGCTACAATCTATTATACCTCAACTGGCATTGAACCATCGAACTTCATTTTATATATCTTATAATGTAAATATTTCAGATAAAAGAAGCAAAAATGATGAAAATACTACTTTTAGCTATTTGTTGTATGTGTGTAATCGAGGCACAATTTTACGGACAAAGAATGTATCGTACCATACGGAGACCAATGAATTACAGAGTTAATACCCTGCCGGCCCCAATGGTACAATTAGGCGGAGTTGGGGCTATCTCAGGATTAGGCGGTATTGGTGGTATCGGAGGTCATATGCCATATGGAAATATTATGTATGATATTGATACACTCGAGCACCCATCATACGATAGACCCGATCCAGTTTTTATTGTTCGAGGTGCCGGTGGTAGAGGAAGTTATATCGTCAGTTAAACGGCATGGTGAGAATTTTACCGTATTTTTTGTAGAAATTTAATGTACAATGTATGACACTGCTCTCTCTAACCTTTCAAAATGACTATGACGTTCCTACCGAAACTTACTCTTTGGGGAAAATTTGGAACAGGTTTTCGTCTTTGGTACTCTCTACGTGTGGAATATATAAACATATTTTAAAACCTTAAACAATACCACAAGAATGCAATAGGATTATTTTCTAGCTAGTGCTCATTAAAGGGACAACCTCACCATCGTACTTTAGTCCCAGAAACTTTTCTAGGTAAGCTAATCAGCAATAGTGTTCACAGCTCACTGTCGAAATTTGAACCTTCAAATCCATGCGTGTTCAGAATTATCCCTATTAGACGTAGTTTTTAATAGCTTGGTATCGAGAAACTCTTACAGGGCTACCCACACCAAATTAGCATCTTCATACTTCTAGATTCTTATCAATTTCATTCTTAATTTCAGGAGAAGCTGTTAAATATGTCAGTGAAATGTATAAGTTGTGGAATACAGACGTTGTACATAATATGCTGTGAATATTTATAAATTTTATTGAAAAATATATTTCTTGATATTATTTAAGAATAAAATTCAGTTGAGTTTAAAATTTATTTCATTTCCCCATTGTAGTAAAAAGTAATGAACTATAACATATATTGTTATAATCCCGTATGACAAATAGGAGTATGACTAATGAGAGTATGACTAATGAGAGTATGACTAATGAGATTATGACTAATGAGAGTATGACTAATGAGATTATGACTAATGAGAGTATGACTAATGAGAGTATGACTAATGAGATTATGACTAATGAGAGTATGACTAATGAGAGTATGACTAATGAGAGTATGACTAATGAGAGTATGACTAATGAGATTATGACTAATGAGAGTATGACTAATGAGAGTATGACTAATGAGAGTATGACTAATGAGAGTATGACTAATGAGATTATGACTAATGAGAGTATGACTAATGAGATTATGACTAATGAGAGTATGACTAATGAGAGTATGACTAATGATAGTATAACTAATGATAGTATGACCAACGGGAGTATGACGTGTTGGACACGATTGTTTATCCCATTTGACCAGTGAGCTCTCATGCCACAACCAAGTTTTTGGATGGCACGTTCTCATCAGGATAGGTCGTTTTTTGGAAGTGGGAGTAGTTAACTTACTAAAGTTGGTCTTTAGGCATATTATCAAAGTCAGCATATACTTATTGAACGTAGAAGAACAAAGTTAAGTTTATATAGTCTTAGCGAATGGCTTGAATTCCCGTCAAGGCAATAAAACATCTGTAGGAGACGGCCTCATTCTCAATCCCCCCTCTTATATAAGACAAATGTAGAATATTGTAATCAAAACCGTCTGGTCAAAATGGATTCAAATGCATACACTTTACTCTCGCATAGTTACCTCAAATTAAGAAAAGACAATGGGCTAACTCGGCTTTGCTCCTCCCCACCCTGAACACACAGCGTCAAGTTTTCAGTATAAACACATTGAATGTATAAAATTAGGGTTTAATTTTCAAAGATGAAGAATTAATATGTACAGGGATAAATAAATTCATAATTTACACAAAAATCTAAATAATATGGACATATATATGGCAAATAGTAGGTAAAAATTCCAAATTTGCTGGAAACGGTCAAGAAATGCCAGTCTATTTTGTGTATAGTGTATACACTTGCAAAGGTATAGATACTTAGTGGATGACAAGCTACGTGAATAAAATGCCAATCTGGTTGTATAGTCTCGTGTTGTTTTCTGTGGATGTTCCCACTTGCCGTCCACGTCCTATTGTTGTACAATACATATCATGTTGTTGGTCATTTCAAACTCAACCAATCAATTTTGTTGTTAAATGGAAGATGTCCTGGCAATATTTGAGGAATTCTTAGAATGCATTTGACAATGTTTTTGATGGTTGGCATTTATTCTGACATGGCATGCTCTTATATTAAAATTCCACAAGATTTATTGAAGAATCGCGCCGGATCATGGATGGCAAGTTTAGTAGGCTAAAGAACAAAATATAAAACGTCTAGTTCATATTGGGGTAACAGACCTGATAGCCCGCTCTTGGTAGTTTATGATAATCACCCAGCAAATTAAATGTCTATGCCGATGCAAGATTGATTGGCAGACAAAGATTAATTTAAGATGGCAAATTCAACAATCGGAAGCAGAGTAAGATAAAGGAAAATAATTTATAATTAATATATACAAAATTGATTCAACAAACACGGAAGCAAAAGTTTATAAATGAAGGATAATTTCATCGTCCCTTGCGTCTTGTTCGAAACCAGATCATAAGTGACATTTTAGTATAAATATGATTGGTCAAATTTACGCTGATTCCCGTCAGATGACGAAGACTAGTTACGGTCCTATTAACCTGACACCTAGCCACTGGTCTTCAAAATCACTCTAAATAAAGCCTTCGAAAGGCTGTAGTAGAGCATGCATGAATGCATTTTCTCTTAAATTTGAGCAAAAAAAAAAAAATACACGCAAATGATTATATACATAACAAACGAAGCGAATGAAAGCCGATAAAAAGGATTTAGATTAAGAGAGCGTCCGAAACATCATTTTTCAATAATCCAGACTCAAGAGTAGTTCTTGTTGAAATCTGCATTTTGAGTCTGATGCGACATTCTTACAAAATGTAATCAGACAGCCTCCCGGTATCGAGGGTACAATAGGGAGTAGATTGACTGAATGGGAGATAACTGTCAAAATACAGCGCCTCTCATGGAGCGTCTGGGAGGGTTCTCCCGATAACAGTTTACAAACCTAACTTATTAGATGATTAGCTATAGTGGAAGAAGCATAATTGTAAAAGGGAAATTACATATTTACAATCCATGGAATGCATATAGTACAGAATAAGATTATTTATAAAGAAAACTATTTAAAGAAAACAAAATGCGGACAAACGCTTACTGACTAGTGACGAAAACATTCACACAACACAGTATCACATGGTAGTCACATGGCCTGTCACATGATTATCACGTGATTAAGTAGTCTGCGTAGGCAACATGGCGGCTGCTGGTAGGTAAACATTGGAAGACTTGTTTTTTTTTGTCATTAAGGGTTTTAATTGTTCTCGATATCAAGGTCTATAGAATGGAACTTTTTTTCAAACTTTTTTAACTTCTCCGAGTCAGTTAACTCGGGTAACTAGCCTCGTTGCTATAAGTATCACATAATTATGTCAGAAATACTGAAACACCATCTCCAACACAATTCTTGCCTTGTTAACAACGACATAAAGTTAAGATGTCACATCCAATATACATGTACAGTTAGTTAAATTTCATTCAAACACAACACAACCATAGTTTAATGAGATCCAATCAAAATTCATATTCACAATCACATGATCAGTTAGGTAATTATCACTTATTCACAAATCACACACGTCACAGTAACTTCCGGTCTCACCAAACCTCACATTTAACACGAGAATTCATGTTACTAGAATATGGACAGTCAAATGCCCAGGCGAAAGACCTGGAGTTCGTTAAAGCACCGTTTACTCTGGAAAATAACAGAAAAATTATTAAAATTTTGTCATTAATACAGTGAAAATACGAATTAACCAACATGGGAATAATTTTGAAATTGCAATGAGACAATCAAAGCTTCTCTCGATATTATACGGATATTATAAGTATCAATATACAGTTGAGGTACGGCAGCGGAGCCTTGTCATCAATAAACATTTTTTCTGACAATGTTTTAATTGGATCCGTATTTTCCGGCACCAGCCAATGTTATCATAGTCTAATACAATCATACATTCTGATCATGCATGGTTAACAGCAGAAATCTGGCCCGTTGGGGTTATTTGTATAGAAATTCGTGTTTACCTTGCTATACCAGGGCTGTGTTTTTCGGTTAAAATATGATTCAATAAGCCAAGTTGATCCCATTTAGCACAATACATCTGAGCATAACTGACAAAGAAAACTTGATAATTGGTGAGGTTTAATCCTGGTAGCAGGAGCTCCTCGCCATTCTCTTCTTGCCAATTTTGGTATGCCTGAAAAAAGAGAATCGTTTATACTGACACTAGGAAAGTTTCAATCAAATTTTACACAACTGCATGGAAGATATAAAAAAGAAGAATACGCGAGGATGACCAGACGTTTCAAAAGTACGTTTCATTCCAACTTTTCTACATGAACAACCTAGGAGTAGATATAGCTTAAATACTCATAAATAGAACATAATATATGTATAATACAGTATAACACTTACAAAATTTGCTGCCCTTAAACCTGCATTATCAGCAATATTCTCATCTAATGTTAAATTTCCGTTCACCTACATAAAACAAATTAGAATTTCATTTACATTTACAATAAAATTATAACTCAAAGGGAAACTCCAAAACCCGATCTTCACTTACTACAACAATAACAGTCAATTTGGCGAGCCGGCACAGAGCGATATGTTTTGATCTGTAATAGTAGACCTTCCAAACCTTGTAAATGAAGAGTACCGAGGTGTATTTATCCCAATAGCAAGCTAAAAGCTAAAAGCTAAAATGAAGTGAACATTGAAGGGAATCCAACATATCTTCTGGTCATTCAGGAGGAAATAACAAGCGCTTTCTGTCGAATGCACAGTGCTGAATACAGCAACTATCGTTAAAGCTGACACCTTTGATTGAGAACATACCTTATATTCTCCAACCTGTATTTTGCTATACTGATCTCTCATACATTGAGTTGTCACGTGGAATTTCTGTGCGGTTTGAGGTTCCCACCAATCAGATAATCTACCTTCGCTATCATGCTTTCGCCCTGAAAAAATAATCAAAATTCATAATGGAGGCTGCATTCTATATTCTGGGTTATTTCATGGTTATCCTTAATGACGAACAGAAATAGAGTTTTGCTCATGAAGACGCAATAAGGTGTGCAACCATGCCAAAGACTCCTCTTTGTCGATATCCAATTGTCGAGGGCACATTGGTGCCTCCTGTTATTTAATGTTGTAATATTGGTTAGCGTCTTATATTGAGAGTAATGTTTAAACTTTTTATGGACCTAGTAACAATTTAAACAGCCGAGAAACCTTACCTTGAACATCAAAAGCATGAGCAATTTCATGACCCACTACGGACCCCATAGCACCAAAATTCATAGCCCTGTAAAGATACATCAACATATTACATTTTGTTAATTAAATCTATAACAAAAGCAGTGCTAAAAACAAACAACGATTTGGACTGATTATCACTGTCTTCCTTTTCGAATATGAGTAAATTTTAGCTCTGTGGCTAGCCTTCCTGATCGTTATATTTTTCTCATTGTATTCTATTATCTCCCTTGAACGCAAAACTGTAATTTTCTGATTTTAGCACATTCGTTGGAATTGAGTTTTGTGGTACATTTTGCATTTTGAATGACTATTTTGTTATACTTGTGGACTTCAAATATGGACTGCAGCATGGACATTGTATGTATTGGCATTTTCGTGTGAATAAATAAAAACAACTTACAAAGGTCCACCAGCAATATAAAATGGAAGATGGAACATGGCCATGGGAAATATAACATCATTTTTTATTGGTGAATAAAAAGCATTCACCGTCACTGGTGGACGAATTCCCCAACTGAAATTATCAAAATAAATCAAATTGATAAAAGATTATATTGTCATGGTAAGGCAAACCTTAAACGACATTATCAGAAGGCAGGATGAACGTTATAATAGCCTCCAATTGCTCTATACTTTTATGTTCTTACCAGGGCCAATGTCGGTGCTCGTCCTACATACTAACACATGCAGTACAATAGTGACTCGCATCGAAGGTTTCTGCGCTGACCCGTCTTACACTTAATTAGTTAAAACTTGTTTAAACTGTAATTCTAAGAGTAGGAACAACAATACATCTTGCTATACTGATTTCTTGATTGGTCGTTGGTTGAAACCAGCTAATAATTAGAATTTCAAAGTTACGAACCTATTTTCTCTATCTGGTTTTTGTTTTAACAGATCATTCATCTTCCCCAACTCAAATTCTCTCCAGTGGACGACATTTTTAAACCAGTCATCACTCACTGTAATAAACTGAAATAGAGTACAGATTTATTAATAGCTATGATTTTCACAGCCTCTGACATATAACAAATCCAAGGTCGAAAAATTTCAAATATGTCGTCTGCCATTTTTCACCAGTTGATATACATGTAAACGATGTATTTAAGACATTAGATGCTTTTATTGTTATTCACATCATAACAAAGCAGCAAAAACCAACTGATGAATTGACCACATGACCCTTCTAGGTGACATCGTTCAACAGAGAAAGTTCTTACAACAGATGAATAACTTACTTTTCTATAATACGACTCTAAGAATGTTGAGTTTAAGATGAAAGATGGATAACTTATTTTTTCTATAATATCATCTATCTGGAATGGTTAATAGAAGGATTGGTGTTAATTAGTCTATATATAATATGAATTGCGATCAATTACAAAAAGTATAAAGAGAGAGATAAAGTTTACAACAAATAATACATCGACAACAAGAGTTTTAATTATCTTAGATTTTTTTCTCAAAAAAGTTAAGGGTATCTTCTGCTATCTGCTGAATCCAAGTTGTTTGACAGGTTCTCGGTGTTTTGTCAGTACCAGTATATTAACTGAATGTAGTGTGGCCCATGGAAAAATCATACAAAAATATTTACAAACCTTTTTCGATGCTTTATCTTTTGTGACTTCATCCATCCAAAATTTCCTCAGAAGATAATCTTTAAATGAATCTTTAACATACGATATTAATTTCTCCATCTGGAAGGGAAAGCAGCATCAAACTTTAGCAGGAAATAACAGAATTTTTATGTGGCATTGAAATAGAATGCCAGAGATTTTTAGCGTTTATGTGAGTCCTGACCGCCCATGAAACACATGGTATATTTTGCTGTACAGAAAAATATTCTCTTAAGATCTTTCATATGGATTAGTGGTAAATGCAGTGGCGTTTCTACTGGGGAAAGGGGCACGACTTTGCTGTTTCCTAGAAACTCCACTGGGTAAATGAATACCTTTTATGTTCAAAGCTTTTAGAAAATTGCTATCTTAGGTATAGAGTAGACATTGACGTTCAAAACTTTAATATGGAAAGCAAGTCAAGTAAATTTTTAATGTTAGAGAACGTGAGAGCTAGATAAGGAGGAGAATTACAACTTACTTCATGGATATTATCTGTTTGTGTTGTACCATGAACATAAATAGCACCAGTAGCAAACCCTAAAGCTTTATTTGTATAGAAGGCACATCTTTCCCACTGAATAACTAAACTTTCTTCTTCTACAAGACAATGTCATGTTATCAATAGGATTGTTAAAAAGTTTTTTTATGTGTTTATGTGGGAACACTGATATCATTGATTTATACCATTCCAATTTTCTATCAGACGTCTGTGGTTCTTGAATTTCCACTCAAACTAAGAGTTTCATGACGTCACTATTGCAAGAACTCAATAATTAATATCCCGGAAGGCGCCAGAATGATAATTTGGAACTAATCATCTGGAGTGATTGTAACCTCATGATTGATACCAACATCCCAAAGTATATAATATGCATAAAGTATATATCGTATAGTGAATGTTTCCAGACCAACAACAATGCAGCATAGAGTTACAAATAATAGTATCATTCTTACCTTTGTCCTCAAAGTCAAATATTTGAGGATCAAAATATGGTTTCAATGAACGGATTAGAGACAGCACCATGTAATCTCGTAAAGTTCTGAAATGGACAATAACAACATTTAGCTAAGCGAAACTAGGTACCCGGTATATATGATTTTTTAATCTCAAAATGCGCTGTCGCTGTTTTGTTACGGCGTAGTATCCCTCAAAAACCAGAATTAATGGCTAGAATAATCTCAGATAATCTCAGGAAATATTCTGAATATATAAATACATATCTAGCAATCGCATTTAATAACTGGTCTTACAAGCGGTGTATCACTTACTGTGTTGTTGTTGTATTTGAGAGATAATCTTCTACTAAGTGGGATAACTGGGTTAAATAAAGTGGATGTAAAACGACTACATGTGAATCTCCAGTAACTGTCAAACCTAAACTGTTCATATACTGTATCCAATCAACCTGCAATGTACAATTTAATGTCTTACTACCATCTTAAGTGTCGATTGGGAAACAAGACAGGTTATTCTGCTACTTGGTTTATTCATCCGAAGCCCCTTTTGGAAAATTCACATACTTCGGATGTGAACTTAGTTAATGCTCTTTGGAATTGCCAAAATCTAATACTCTCAGCTACTATGCTACACCCCGTCCTGTAAAAACCAGGAACGACAAAATATCGTTCTAAAGAATTGAGCTGTCAAAATTTGTTTCCAGATAAACATTAAAACGTGACTTTCCGCAAGACTTGATAGTATTTATATTAATCTTATTTATACGTCTATGTCGTGCTAATAGACCATGTATCTAATTTGAGGGAGAGTTTTAAAATTACAAAACTAATGGTGCAAAACGCCCCTATCTATTACTAATGATGCGAAGCGTTCCAAACATTAGAAACATCTCAGAAACTCATTTCGTTCAATGACATGTAACTAATACGACTGATGCTAGAATTGATGTGGTTTCTACAGTCTGGTGGCACACTTTGATAAATTTGATCAAAAAAAAATATCAAAATTAAATAAAAAAATCTGCTCTAAAATTGATTCCAGTGTGTCTACTATTTTGAAATTGTGATCAAGTAACAACATTTAGATAGCAGGATAATTTTTGTGGTTGGTAGTGATTTTTAAATCTTGAGGTATTTTGGAGGTTTTGCTGCGAAATTTGTTTTATCACCTTTAACAGCTGGAAAAAGTCAAGTAATATTGCTATCCGCATACATCAAGTCGAAAGAACATGTCGTTCACTAGTCTTAGATAATTCTAGTTCACACAACCCTTTTGTTATCAAAGTTTCACCTGAAGCCATTCAACTGATAGCTTCGATTTGTAGTTTTGAACCATTCCAATTTTTAGACAAACGTCAATCACATAAACAAGGCGTTTTACAACAGCACTATTGCAAAAGCTGCTTGCAATAATGCCTACTTTCAAATACCTAGTTCTGTTTTATTAATCAAATTGTTGAATGACTTACCATAGGATATTCTGACTCCATCTTCTCAAGAATTTTGTCATTATATAAAGCTGACGGGTCGTGGGAATGTTCATTCATAGGACTGATCTGAAATTAGCATACCAACTTAAATTATAGAATGTTATACGGTTTGATTGGTACCAATCCGTAAAATACTCACCACTGCCATCAATCAGAAGCAACCGCTAATGGCTCGAGCTTGAATATTGAAATCTTGACATACAAATTGACAAAGATCGTTAATTAATTCTGGAAGACTATGTCCTGATCTGAAACTTTAACACGATATTCCGTTTTGAGCATCTCCCCATGAAACTAATACTGGGTATATTCAATCCAACTTACAGTTGCTAATGATTGTTCTAAAACCAATAGTTCTTCAGCCTTCTGTCTCGCCTCTCTTTCTGCTAAACCAAAAAACATTAACAAATGCTTTGTTTCTTCTATTACACCTTGCTTAATCTGAAACAGAAAGGAAAATAGAAGGTTAGCTTCTGACAAAGGTTGACGGGCTGACTATAGAGTAACAGAATCGAAAAGACAGAAATTGTCTTCCTTTGTTTTCAAATGCACGCACACTGCATTATCAAGCTCGCGTATAAAGGGTTTTATTAGAAAATATATCTAGACGTACCTCATTTCTGTCTTTCTCTATTATAGTCTCCACTGGTATACTGGTTGGTTTAACAGTTGTATTGGTGGGGAGGGGTGTAGTGCCCGTCCTAGGGGTGGGGAATAAATCTGAGGGTAGTTTGTTCTCGCCAACATCAATCTACAACATAATATAAGATAATCATTGCTACCAATTGTTTTTTAAATCCCTGTTCCAGATAAAGCAACTCAACTGGCGGCAACAAACTTTACAATCATATTTGTGAGAGACGGTGATATGTGCTGGGTGGTCGATAGAGTCTTGTAGTCATTTTCGTAGACTCTCTTGTATCGTGTTTAACCTAGGCCTGCGAGGCTCCGGTCATTATTCTTCCTATCACTTTGCGTTTGGTGTGTCATCTATGTGGATGTAAAAGAATTATCTCTTATTATGTCCCAGAGCAATATAGAAATTAGTAGCAGAAAGCGAGTGGAATGCCCTGTGTTTTTGAAATTGTAAAGGGAAATGAAAGTAGCTGGCCCAAAAGTAGCAAATTAAACAAGCGCCTACCTTAGCGATGTGTTTCTGTGTAGGATGCGTCTCGTCAATCTGTATTTTAACTTGGAATAATGGCCATGCTCCCAGTTTGTGTATTTTCTCCAGAGCGACGGTAAATACCCAGGTAGCGTTGGTGGTATCTTCAGGATCAGTAATGGACCATCCTCCTATGTTCTGTATTAAAGTGTTTAACTGTTCCCGTATAAGATCCCGGCTATCAGAATGAGACTTCATACAACTGTCATAAAATACTTTCGCCTTTTCCTCGGCTTTACCCTTCATTGGACGGTTTTCTGCAACAGGAAATATATTGTGTGTTTAGCTACATTATTTTTAAAACATTTTAACACATGATCTAACGTTTTATAATCAACCATGCATTGATATGATTGAGTATTTTGGCAAACATTGACAATAGTTATGAATGATTTATTTTACTATTTTGAAAAATCAATTGTAGCAATGTATTTTGCATACGGCTATAGGGTCTGTAAACTTCCCTCAAAAAGCTCAACCCAATACGATGTCACAATTATAAGAAGGTGCTCTTCATAGAGAGCCAAAAGAATGCCATGGTATGCCAGCCAAACAAATTTTTCTTCATGTAAAAGACAGTTGTATGGAACATTAATAATTGGTTAAAGTCTTGCGCAACGTTTTGATGCGTTTCTCTTGTGGTCCTCGGGAACATCGTCATAAAAAGAAAACTATACTTGATTCACGTGATTCCTTCGATAAAACTGTAAATTTAGTTTTGGATTCTGAAGAGCTAACTGGTTCTAACATTACCAACGTCCTTCTTGGGGGTTATATAGAAATTTAAGTACATCTTATAAAGAATACAGATGGTCTTACCTATAAGATTTTTCAAGACATAAAGATTCTCTTCGGACAGTTGTTGAAAGCGATCCCATAAATGATGTCCTGACGGTAGCGGTGTTTTCATCTCCCATCCTCCACATGCATATTTATAGAAATTGGAACATGGTCGTACTGTGGTGTCCATATTGTTCAGGATCGAACTCGCTGCCTGTATACATTCTGGAGTTTTACAGTATTTCTTCTCTAAAATAGCAGAATGTGGTAGACAATTGATAATGGAGATCAAAAGTAACAGATATATCCGGTAGGGCACCATTTGGGAACTCTATAATGTGCAAGTTGACGATAAAAACAATTCTAACGAAGATGCCTGTAATGAGCTAACTGATAGACTTTGAAGACTTCTAAAGAAATCAGGAACCTCACAGGAGTGATGTTCCTCTTTTATATTCCAACTGAAGAAGGATAATTTACATATATAATTCCTACTTGTAGTCCGAAACAAATGACAATGTTTTTTACTCCATTTTCTTGACTAATACGGCGCTTTCTGACATAAAATCCCCAAACAAATATACTTTTTTTCATATTCATTTGATAATTCCTGTAATTTTATCAAAAAGAGGATGAAATAATCATTATACAACTGCATATATATTGTGTATCATTGAGTACCATAATACAGTAATATCAGTAAGTTCAGAGATTCGGATTTATCTAATTTGCAACGTCTACTCCAGGGACCCCCCATGTATCGGGCCTAGAACAATAGACGTATTAGAATACATTCAGAATTGAGAGAAAGACTGATTTTATTTCAGTATAAAGTTTGATGGTAAACAACCGGTAGAGAGAATAGAAGGTGACAGAGTGAAATGTATAGAACTGATTGTGACAGTCTGAAGTTGACAACAAGAGAAGGAAATATACTGATTGGAGCCGTGGAGACAACATCATTTGGAACCGCTAAATAGTTCCTCTTGTCAATGCAATCGAACAAAGAGATCTATTATCTTTTGATTACTTCATCCTTATAACAAACAGCAAGATAACGGATGAAATATTATGATACTTCATGACCGATCTGTTTGTCCTTTTGTATACATAGGTGATTCTCATTAGAGAAAATCTCAAAAGCTGAACTTTAAAACATTAATTTACGTTCCTGCTGTCTCTGAGTATCCTACACGTCGATTCATTCCAATGAATCCTACTCGAACACAGAGATCTATTGATAACCTTGACAGTATTATTATTATTATTATTATTAACAGCAAGATAACGGATGAAACAGGTTATATTTTATGGGTGTTTCTTGTTTCCGTTCGAAAATTTCTCAGAAGTTGTCCTGACATCAATTCACATTTCTACTGTCTCAAATTTCCATGCACAATGATTCATTCCAATGACAGTATTGTCATCAGAAACTTGCGGGATTAATTCTAATTGAAGGACGTTTAGTTTATTAACTAGACTGTTGTTGTCTTAATTGATAGAGAATAGTGCTCTGTTTCAGTCAGTCGAGTCTCAGCTGATATTGAGCGCTTTTAACTAGTATTCACAGCTAACATTTAGACCACTATACCCAAGTTAAGAATAACCTAAGTTATATTAGTCTGACAGCAGTCCTCGGAATTATATTTCATATTGTCTGCAAGAATAAATTACAAGAGAGTGGAATACAACCAGAACCTAATGTTAAAATACTCCTTCATCAGTCTAGAAGAGACACATATATTACTTTATTCTATTTTAAATTACTTTTTAAAAATGTAATTTCTACTTGAATTTCAATTTAACATGTTAAACTGAAACTAATCTATTTCAACAGCCAGAACAACGTGCTCTCAAACCATCAGTATCAATTTCAACCCAAATTTCACTTTCACAGTTTCTAATTTTACGTGAAAAGAAATATCTTTCATTGATAGTGCTATTAAAGACTGACGACGCCATGCAGTGTGTTATATTGGGAATTTTGCAATTAATTTTTAATTGGAAGGTGTTGCATAGACATATTATGCGCATGGAAGAAATTCAACTTTATGGGGTCGGATGTTGTGGTTTAAGAGTAAGATGATAAGGCAAACTTTATTTTATGATGTAAACTCTTACGGTAAAAATAATACCCATTCCTACCTTCTTTTAATATTGGTCTGGTTAATCCAACTGCCAATCCGATTATCACAACAAACGCAACTAACATGGCAGCCATAAGGAACTTTTCCAACCCAGTCCGATTTCGACAACATTGTGGTCGGATTGCCAGTACGTCGTAATCCTCGACAATGTCATCCTCGGAGTCGGATTTCCCAAACGGGGCGTCCGTCATCTGAAAATATAAATGATTACTGTGCGATGTGCATTGAAAAGATCGGGTGTCAGGTGTTGAGGTTGTTTCTTGCAAACACCTTAGTCTGTCTGCTATGCCCATCTATATTGGCCCATGTATCTGATTAATTGGTTTCCGGACGTGAAAAGAGAGATGATGTGTGTGGTTCACAAGAATCAATGGAATATTTATATACCCACAATTGTGACGTTCATATTTAACAAAATATCTTTTGTATACAATTCCGGTTTAAAAGACGATTTTAAACCTAGAATTCTTATGTTTTGTTTTCTTGTATTTTTCTCGTAAGAAAGTAAATGGGAGACAACTCGTTGAAACTTCTTCGTTTAGCTTCCAAGACTTCCGTACCACACGGCATGTTAAGCTGGGAATTTTGCGAGTTCGGAATAAAGACGAAGCGTGAATGTTTCATTTAACTGGTGGAAGGAAGGTGCTTGGGCATTCGAATAGTTTTTTTTTTGGCAGTATGATCAGAATTTGACCAAATGCATTACCGACGTCAATCCAAATAATTACCTATGCAGCTGTTTAAGTGTAAGTGTTTCAAACTGTTATAATTCGCCTGTCTCATAGGAAAAAGGCACTCTTAAATATGTATTGTACACGTTACAATAATATCTCTAACAAATATGTTAATAATGCCACTAACCACATAATATGGGTAATTCTGGGCTGAACATGACCTCGACATAATGTTAATTACACGTGTTACTTTCTAAGGTGCGGGCATTCGAGCGGTCTTGGTCGGAGATTTTTGTCGCCGATTAAAGTCTTGAGTAAAATCTCGCGTGTGCTCTTACGTCCAAGACAAATTGTCGCGTTCCCGACCAATTTTATAATATCAAACAAGTTTGATAATTGTCTCCGATTATTTTATCGTCTGCAAGACGGATCATCATCATCCCATCAGATTCATTTCCAGTGCACACTCCGCACGTGATTATCGACATGGAAAACGGCAGACTAGAGATTTTTGTCCCCCTGTGTGTCCGCAACCGGTCGGTATAACTCTTGACAAAACAAAACTCTAGTCGACGACAAAAGATTCCAACCATGACCGTTTGTGTGCCCACACCTTAACACAAACTTAATCTTGCAAAATGGTGTTGATAGGTAGTGTAGGAAATAGGGCTTACCTTGATTGAGTTAGCATTTAGAAGTTCGTTTTCCTCCGAACAGGCAGTTCTGAAAATAGACAAAAAGCTCTATAAATATTATGTTTAGAAAAAGAAAGTCTCATTGTAACATCGGAATGCCTTTGATAAACTGTTTGTTCAACGAATTAATATTTAATATGATAATATGACATGTGAAAAATTTACAGACTATATTGAGAAATATCTGAATCATAATCATAGAGGTGGCAAGAAATATAAAGATGAAAACATTTTGAAAGTCGGTTTATATTTTTAATTACAACTAAAATGAAGTTCTTTAATATTTTGTTTTATCCATATTCCTCGAACACGTGTAAGTGTTAATATTATATTTTAATAAGTATGATGTTTCTAAGCTATGTTGCAGTAAAAGCATGAATGCATGACTATTGATATCATCATAGCACAGGTGTATAATATAAAATAATATTCCTATATTACATTTTATCATGTTTCTCTATATTATTATCTTCAGTTTCCATCTTACAACACTTTTTATCGCGAGTATTTCAAACACGCCTGCCTTCAACCATTTTATTAAGAAATCACTGACGTTATTTCATCATTTCCGTATAATCTGCGTGTTAAACCGTCCTCACTTTCAGTTCCTTTATTTAAATGCAAAATGTCAGACTTGCATCGGAAATGTGATAGTGAAACAAGGCTCGTTCAGAATGTGTACGGCAAATATTAAGACACATTATTCAATAATAACGATCTTTTATTCACTACATATTATCAGTAAGTCTTGCATTATTCACAACCACATAATCACCTTATGTGTAAACGCAACTATAACCGATTGATACACAATACATGTTTTACAAACAATCATCACATCACCTACACACAATATCATCACAAGAACCCGACATTTACGCAGCAAAGGTAGATTAAGAAACAGTAGTCCATTGCTGATCAACCTAGCTCTAAGTGTTACATGGCGCTTTGGAAAGAATAAGGCAAATGCTACTTACTGTAAATGTACATTATCAATGTATTTTGATTTATTGCATTAACAATACGATAAACCATTAACCTATTGAATATCGCATTCATTGCAGAACGATATTTGTGAATCAGAGACCACAATACCTTCAAATGTATCAACTAAAACCTGCTGATAATGAGAGTGAAATGTCAAGTTGACTGTGTCTTTTTTTTCTCTTCTAGTGAATAATCAATCTATAATTGTAATGGTGTATTTTATGGAAATCATCATATTATAATAGAATTGAAGCATTCACGGTACCAAATCTTGCATGTCATTACAAGACACACTTGTACTGCACACAAGATCAATTGTGGTATATACCTATTAGTCATGCAATAGCACATGTTTTATGATTTTTACATAATTGAAAATTATGTTACTACACACAAACAGGTTGTTGCACACCTGTATTTATTATTATATCGCAAGAACACGAGTTAACAATATTTGTTCGATCGACGAATGGTTTCAGATAACAGATGAAGCAATATACCACTGAGTATATTTATATACCACCTATAAGCTGATACGAATCTGTTTCCAATTAAACAGTGTACAACCTGATGATCATTCTGAACACAGAAAACTACCATTGTGTCGAGTACAGTTCTCTGTGAATCATTGAGCATCCATGACGCTTCATTGCCATCGTGTCAAATTACACACACCACTTTTTGAAATCAGAACTTTATCTTGAGTACAAAAGATGAATATAAATGGGTTGAAACCGTCTCACCTCAAGAGATGCGAAAATCCTCAAAAATAGAAGCTTATATTTCCTAACTATATACTTCGTTGGACTAAAATTGAAATACTGCACTCAGAACATTACTAAATATGCAAAGTTATGGCACATGTTCAAATCTGATGTCATTTAATAAACAAAGGTTGGCCTAGATACCATAATGTCTCATTATTATCATACCGAAATGTCGAATTATACTCCCGAATAGTTGACACTGAATCAGTAGAACAATATTATTTCAAGCTGAATAATGAAAAAACACGCATGGAATACATCCGAGGTGATAGTAATATGGAACAATAGTCACTTTTGATATACGCAGATTTGCAACCATCTTCGACAAGAACACATGTGTTAGGATCTGAATCTATAGCATCACTGAATGATCATTCACTATGTTATATCCTACTAATAGATCCCCAGAGACATAAGGTGCCAATACGACGCTATATAGATCCTAAATCAGCAACTATGCTACAGACGAGCACAACCGAGCACCGCTAAGCGCCAACGAAAAACATTATAACTAATAACGCCCATGAGTAACGAGAGAGCAGTGACAGACAATAGTTACACAGGTTCAGAAGCGACGCTACATACCGGCATATCCAAGTGGTGATGACTCCAAAACAGATGTCAGCATTTGTAACAGTAATCTAAAATATCTTGGTGACACAAACAAAGCAATCCAAGCTTCTAAAGACAGATTAAGGTGCCCAGATGAACGAAATAATACAGATATTTACACAAATCTCGCAGTGAAGACTTTATCTCTTTCAGAACCTTCCACCTGGACACTACCGTCCGTATGTCACATTAATAGACTCCACTAAATATTTCAAAAAGGCAACATTGTTTTCCGCAGTAACAGGTAACATTAATAGTAAACGCTGACAATAAATACTTGCTATGTAGTAAATTCCACTACATTGATAGTAAAAGACCAGATCGTTTCGATTCAATTGTATATAATCATCATTCTTGTCATTAATTATAATTAGACCTGGACTGTTACAGCTGGGACTGTAATTTTAACAACATATTTGTAAAACCTGATAGTATTTTTCAATAATAAATTGTAATGATATGTAACGAAATAGAGTGATAAGATTTTGCATCGTAATGGGTAAGTTAAGTGTTACATTCCATTGCTCTGAAACGAATCCAAGGTTTACATATTGCTTTACCCATTGCTGGGTTCAGGTGCCAGTTGTGTATTACCAGTTGAGTGTGGTTAGGAATGCTGAAAATACCCGAGGTGTCAGATATCAACTTGTCACAATGCCGAAATCTTGGTACACTCCAAGAACTCATGTTGAAAGTAAATAGAGCCTATTCTGACAAAAGCGCAGATTGTGTTTTATTCCAAGGCAGAATGAAAGGCAGCAAAAAGCGAAGAATTTCATAATTAGAGAACTGTCAATGTAATACATTTAAAAAAGATAATTGACAACATAATTATTCAGGTCTGTTACAGATGTTATGTGAATTGTTTTTATCAATTTTAACATTATATATCATCGTATAGAAGTTTAGATTGGAATTCTAAGTGCAGCTGTTCTAAACAGTACCAGTGATTGTAGGAACGTGAATCAAATTGATTGTTGAATGTCGCAGTGCCCTGGATAATGATATCTGTTGTTACACACCAATGCGTCAATGACAGTATTGTCTCGCTGATAGCTGATTATTCGTCAACCTATTAGCTATTCTGCTATTGCTGTTGCATTTTTATCGTTTTTTTAACCAGGTGATAAGATAAGAAAAAAACAAGTATTTTTGTACAGTGAGAACAACTTGGGTTCACTTAGGTTCGTTTCGTCCAGCTGGGTATTAGACAAACCTCTAGGCATTGATCCTATTCGGATCGACTATAATATTGAAGAAAATTGACTTATTCAATGTCAAAAAATTGTATTTTTGAGCTTGTGACTGTGGACCTCCGAATCAAAATATTTGCAGCAGTTGAAAAGACTTTGGATAAAAAAACTGGTTGTTTTTGTCGTCCTTCCTCTTCACTCTTCTCAACAAGAATCACATTGGGTTCCTATGTGTACAAATCATAAATTGCTGATTTGAAGAAAAACGAACTGGTCGCTCATTATCAGGATTAAAATCCAACTAATTACAGCCAATAAACAATTTCAAAGAAAGTATAATCATCAATATATAATTGATGTATCCAATTAGCCCAATTTTAGTCAATAATTAACTTTAATTAAAGGCTGAAATATCTATAGTTCGATTATATGAATGTTTCATTCAGACCAACAACCAGACTAATTTGAAATTCGGGAAAAGATATCTGCAAATTTTCAACTTTTTTTTCGTGATATTGAGTTGTAAGAACGAATATCAGATATGCAGGAACAATTTAGCTTTCTGGTTATTAAATACACCTCTACGATACTCTATGCTTACCAAATCAGCGAAAATATCAATTATTCGATTCAATGACTGTTCCATAGAGGCCAAAATTCAGGCAAATATGAAATTCAGAAAGATGAACGATCATCGAATTTTCATACTGTGATGAACGAAATTATACCTTAGAGATACAGAGATATTTCAACTTTCGAAGCAATATGAAAAAGTGCTTACTATCTAAATTAAATATCAGAGAGTCTATTAAATTTGTTGGAACCATTAGCTACATGAGCTAAAATTTATTTACATCTATCTTTGAAATTCTACAAGAGCGAGAAGTTCCAGATCATCTTATCACTTAGAGCCAGCTTGGTGTGATAAACTTAAAATAGCGTAGTCGGGTCAATTTTTAAACTATCCCACTGGTATTTCATTAACTTCATTCTATTCTGCTAGATATATTAAGGATGGTAAGTGAGAATCGTTAGTCAATCATGTTTAAAATACCCCCACACTTCAGTATCTGATCAGCGACACAAAGACTAAAAATGTCCGATGGTTTTAGTTCATTTACTCTCAAATTGAGAAGTTATGTTGGTAGATTAGTATAAAATATAGTTATATTATGATGGAAGTCACTATATAGTCGATGATTAGTTGAGGAGATTTCTAAACGAGTAGGTAAAGAGTAAAATATTGATGTCTGTGTTGAACAATGATGAATGATTACCACAGACATCAGGCTTCGATAAAATGATGATTTGTCTTCATTTCTCATATTTGACAGAAACATCATTCTGAAGAGAGCATCCTTTAAATCGATCTTGTGTGTTAGTGAAATGTCATATGCTATTTTTAAGTCGATTGACTCAGTATGACCGGTAAAGCCTGTGTAATATTATTGATAAAATGAATAATTAGCGCGGACTGCAGTGTAAGCATATTATTTCAGCCAGTGAACAAACCCTTTGTCTGTCTAATAAAAGAGCATAATGAGAGAAGTAAAATGATCTTTTAAAAATGTAAAACATAGTCTCATGAGAATATGCCTGGTATATACAAGAAGATACATAAACGCAAACATTTGTATTCCAAACAATCAAGTAAAGTGGAAATATGCACAACAAAGTCCCATGAGAATATGCCTGGTTAAATTAAAAAAATACATGTGATAATTTCAGCAAAATACTTTGCATCCCAATCCATCAATTGTATCATAAAGCTAAATGTGCTGATGCAGTAATGTGAAATTGTATGGTCATTCAACGTGGTTAAATGGCTTGATCTTCGTTGTTGACAACCGGATTAAAACGGTAGTCGGCATCTAGATGATGTAAGCTGAATTCCGACTTATAATGAGCTGCATTTCTTTCAAT